GCACGTATGGGATAGCCCCCCCTGAGTGACAGCGGATCCTTTGATCTGCTATTCCTGGTTGCGTTCGTGGGGTGAAGGAAAACATACTGAGCGATCTCCGGCTATCTTGTGCGAAGTATTCGGCTAGTTGGGGCCATCTTGGAGCTACCTTGGGCCATATTGGGACTCTAATCTAACCCTGACCCCTCAATCCCCCACCCCTCTCCTGTCCAGACGCAGGGGCGAGACACCTCCGAACATAACGGGTTAGCCCAGTAAGCCGCCCCTCGGCCATAAGACCCGGCGTGTTTGGCCCTCGACTTTTCCTCGGCAGGGGACGCCAAGACCAGGCGGCCTCCAAGATGCCCATTCACTGGGACGCAACAGTGCGAGGTTACATTCAGAATCGGCTCTGGTAGACTCCTGATCGAAAACTAGCCTAACTTGGTCCAACCCCATTAAAAGTTGATCAATTCCGTTTAATCTGGCTTAATTCCGTTTCGTGTGGCCTAATCCCGGGTCTAAAATCCGGCCCAGTCCAGTTCCATGGCCTTTCAATCGGGTTTGCTAGCCTTGCATCGTTCTGGCGAAGACCTTCCAGAAGTTGCTTCTAAAGTTTCTCGAAGCTATAACTTTGAGGCCGCTAGCACCCCGCGACCATAGGGCCCAGCACACGCCTCACTGAGCTTAGTTCAAGCAAATAAAAAAGAAGTTGCTTCTAAAGTACGCGACGGTCCAGGATGGCCCAAGGTGGCCCCTACGAGACTTCCAAGAGGTCTCCAGACAGCAGCCCCCCCCCCCACAGAGGCAAACCTCCAAACGCCTGAGGCTGTTTCAGTGTTGGCCCTGATGGCTTTCTCTTCCGACGGCCCCTCGAGATCTCAATATGGTCCCACGATCGCCCACGAGAGCCCCAAGATGGACCCAGGAGGAGCCCAGAAGGCCCCAGAGGCCTCCAAGAGAGCTTCAAACCCTCCCAGATCTCGAGCACACGAACAGCGTGCAATGGCCCTCAGTGCTCAGCAGGGCCGATCGGATAATTCCAAATGCACCAGGAAGCCCAGACATCCGAAGGAGGCCCCCCCCCGAACCGTCAACAATTCTAGACGCTGCGCTTCGCTTGCATGCTGGGAATCTCCCTCGCAGTGGTGACCTCGCTGTCTTACGTTCCGCGGTCCGGCGGCTCGTCCCGGACTCGCTGCTCGTCTCGCTGGAGGCATTCTACGTGGTCGCGGAGCTGCTTTCGAATTGCACCATTTTGGTGCTGCACCTCGCCCAGAAGTTCTTTTTGGTGTGCAACGTTTTGTGAGCGGCAGCGAGACTCGCCACCTGTTTGCCCACCTCGCCTGGTCTTCTCTCTTCCGCGTTCGTTCTCTTCCTCTGTTCGCCTCCCTCTTCCTGTGCGTTAATTTGGGCCGATGCACCTGCGCTTCGTACCCTTACGCCGCCCGACCTTCTTCGCCGCGGTCGCGATAACCCCACCAGCCCATCCAGAAACGATGCCCAGAGGAATTGCCTCGATCAGGGAAGTGGGCAGCACGCAGAGGAAAGGCCCCCCAGTGGAGGCCTATTGGAGCCTCCTGGGGGCCACGTGGCGGTCGTGGGCGCCTCTTACAGTTTCTTGGGTGCCTCGGAGAGCTTCTTGGGGCCTCTTGGGGGTCTCTTGGAAGCCTCTTGGGGGCTTCTTGGGCGCCTGTTGGGGCCTCCCGGGGCGTCCTGGGCGCCTCTTGGGGCCCTGTTGAAGCGCTCGTGGGAGCCTTGGGAGCGCACTCGGAGCCCTTGTGGGCCATCTTGGAGCCATCTTGAGGCTTCGGACGGCCATCGGAAGCGACAAGGCGAGAAAGCTCAAAACACCGATGCTCCTAAGGTTTTGGAAAGATTTTGACTTGTTCGGGGCATCCAGGGGGAGCTCTTTGGCCAGTTGGAGCCGTCTTGGAGCGGTCTTGGCTGTCTAGGAGCATCGTGGGTGCCATCTTGAGGCATGTGGGGATCTTTTGAGCCATCTTGGTGGTCATTTTGGGCCTTTCCAGGCGCTCTTGAAGTCATCTCACGCAGCCCCCCCCCAGGAGGCCAAAATGTGGCCAACACCTTCGTAAAATTAGTGATTTTGGCATTGTCGCCGAGACATCTTGGAGCGTCTTGGGTGCCTTAGGGCCTCCTGGCCACCTCTTGGGGCCCTCTTGGTGCACCTTTGGGGGCCTTGGGAGCGCTCGTGGGGCCATCTCGGGGGAGATCGATCAAAGAAGGGGGGGTCTCAATTAGCGTTGTAAAAACAATGATTATGGTTTCTTCGCCGAGGCCGTTTTGGACGATCCGGCGAATCGCGGAACGCCCCGTCCAAGTCCAGGTCCAGGGGGTAGGGGGAGGGTAAGCCCTTCCCCGAAGGGGAAGAATGGTGCGGAAGAGGAAATACCCTAAACCACCTACGCCTTGAAGGGCTGGTGGGATTCGAGGCTCCGCCTGGCAAGGATTCTGGCCATACCCATGGTTCACAGACTAGTGATGGGAAAGCGTTGCGACGCGGGGTACACTCGACCCGCATAAGAAGGACGCGTGGTAAGGATGCAGTGTACGGTTAGACATGTCTTCTTTCGGCGGCATCAGCGGTTGTCGTGCCAACGCGTCCTGCTGGATGTGCGGCGTGTTGCGGTTTCGGTTGCGGTGGGGATGCAGGGGCCTTGGAAGGCCCTGCCGACACTTTGCGAGCGGGGCGCGGCCAGCGAAAGCGGCCAAGCATGGGCCGAAGAAGAAGGATGCAAGGGCCACCTACAGGAAAGTCGCTCGTCCTTACTGTGCGGGTTGACTGTAGGGGCGGGGGGGGATTCCTTGAGCCACCCAAGCTCCGAGGGCTGGTGAGAGTTGCCGCTGGCCCTGGTCCAATTTCATCATGGGTGGCGCACCCATTTGTTTTGGCTGGGAAGACTCGCCTGGCCGCCCGCCTGGAAGACGCAGTCGCGGGGCGCCTTCCCAGAGACTTGTTCGGCCTGCGCTCCGCAGCCGGGCCGGCTCGAGGGAATCAGCCTTGATGCAGAAGCTCCCAGGAGGGAATGGCGTGGGTGGGGGAAAGCAGCTGGAGCTTGGAGAGACATGTTGAGGAGGAGGAGGAGGAGGAGGAGGAGGAGGAGGAGGAGGAGGAGGAGGAGGAGGAGGATGAGGAGGGGGAGGAGGAGGAGGAGGAGGAGGGAGGAGGAGGAGGAGGAGGAGGAGGAGGAGGAGGAGAGGAGGAGGGAGGGAGGGAGGAGGAGGAGGAGGAGGAGGAGGAGAGAGGAGGAGGAGCGGGAGGAGCGGGAGGAGCGGGAGGAAGGGGATGAGGAGGAGGGGAGGAGGAGGAGGAGGAGGAGGAGGAGGAGGAGGAGGAGGAGGAACAGAAGGGCACGCGCGGTGACAGCGACGAGGGCCGCGAGGCGGGCAGCGACGAGGCGAAGGCACGATACTCCCCTGCTGCGAAGCGTTGCTTGGCGCTCGCAGGTGCATGCGCCGCGGACGGGGACCAACGTCGGCCGCGCGCAGGACCGAGCACTGGCGGGCCCCTCAGAGCGGCGGCACACCTCACTCCGAAGGGCGCCGACGCGCGGGACTCGGCTGCGGGGGTGGGGGGGCCATCGGCCTTTGACCGTGCCTTTTTTTGACGGACTTGGGCGCGGTGTGCTCCCCAGGGGAGGAAAGAAAATCCGATGCATCTGTACCCTTCCCCCGTTTTCCTCTTGTTGGGCCTCCCGGGATGCCCTCGTCGCCACCATGCACTGAATTCGCCTCGAAGTTCGGGCCAGGGCGCACCCTGGGAGAGGTCTGGGTGGTAGTGGTGTCGGTGCCTTTTGGTTTCCCCGTTTTTTGGCGGTCGCGGCCTCGCGCGCGGCGACGAGGCGAAGCAAGTCGAGTACGGCGGCCGAAGCCTAGGCCGGTGCACGCGCGCGTCAGCTCAGATGGGGCTGGGCCCCCCTCTCACACGCATCCCGCCTAGGCTATGCTCGGGTTTCGCCATCGGGGGCCTGCCCATCGCCGACGTTCAAGGGAGTAAAGACCACCCGGACCCGACAATTAGCGTTTACTAGAGGGCCCTGGGCGTTTGTCACCTGGACCCGACAATTAGCGTTTTACTAAACGGCCGGGGACAAACTGCATGCTGCAATGGACCTTCTCCGGGCACTCGAAAATCAGAGGCTCGACCGGATTGAAGAGTGTTTCACTTTGTATCCGCATCTCCGCTCCTTAGTCCCATCTCGTTCATCCGTGCCGAATGCTTTGATGGACCATTTTGTCGAATTGGCTCTCGCCAGGAAGTGTGGGAAGAGGTGGAGTGTCTCAAGTTACGCCGCGGCGCAATGCCAGAGTTTGAAGTTTCTGCGCGTAAAGAACACATCATGCGCAAGCTGCAGCGCCTCCTCCCTGCAGGAAGCTCCTCTGCAGCTGCGACGGCGTCTCTTGATTTGAACCATTTTTGAGGTGGAGCCCCGTGGGATGGCAGATTTGTTGCGGCAGCATTAGTGCACCACTTTTTCTCGTCACTCGGTTGACTTCTCCTATATGCGAGCTTGGCGCCCGAGGGAGATGTATTCATTCAGCGGGGTGGGTCTTGATTGCGATGACCCCCGCTGGCAGCTCAAGCTCGAGCATGTAGTTGATGCAATTCAATCCTCTTCTGATTCTGCTCCGGGGCCGGACGGCATCCCGTACCGTGCCTGGAAGCAAATCGAGCAGCTGGCGGCGCCGATTTTGCATGAGGCGGCTGTTTTCTTGCAGGACCCGCGTGCTTGCTGCGTTCTCCCAGAGGATTTGAATTCGAGTTTTTTATGCTGCTTGCCGAAAAAGGCAGCGGGCATCCACCAGGACCACGGTGAGTACTACACGGCTGACAAAACGAGGCCACTGTCTCTTCTCAGTACCGACAATCGTTTGATTGCCAGTGCCTATGGCCATCTTCTCGAGCTTCTGGCTGGGAAAACCGTTTCTCCTATGCAACAAACAACTTTCTGTCGGGCCGTTCGTTGCTCCGCAATGTATGTGACATCGGCCATGAAAGCATGATGGCTAGCCTATCGGAGAGAAGTGTTGCGATCATTCTCTTCGGCTTCGAGGCTGCCTTCCCAAGTGAGGCGCTGCAAGAGACAGGGCTGCTGCCTGCGCTGAGCAATGTTGTCCCGTGCTTGTACTGGCGCAGCGTGGTCAGGATCAAACTCAAGGGCCAGATTTTCGAAGGCTTCGAAATGGCCAGCGGCGTCCGGAAAGGGTGCCCATTGTCACCTCTGCTGTTTGTTTTGGTCACAGACGTGATGCTATGCAGAATTCAACGCATTTGCCCGCCAGCCCTGGTGAGAGCATTTGCGGGCGACAACGGCGTTGTGGTACGCGACTGGTGGCGCGACGCTTCCAGCATTCTCCGCATGTGCAGGGCATTTTCTTTGTTTTCTGGCCTTCGTTTGAACATGTCCAAAACCGTGGTGGTTCCTTTGTGGGAAACTACGGGGGCAAGTTTCCGTCGCGGCGTAGGGGACATGTTGCCCGAATGGTCTGGCGCTCATTTTGCAACTCATGCCATTGGCTTTGAGGTGGTGGCCTGGCCGTTCCGACTCCACTTGGGCGAAAACCGTTGCCAAGTATGCGAAACGAGCTAAACAGGGGGTGGAATGCCGGCTTGGATTGCATTTTCACGTCAGGGTTTATGACACATTCGTTATCACCTGTCTGTCGTATATCTGGCAGTTCAGCGAGCCGACGGGGGAGCTCCTCGCCGAGGAGGCGTCCGCCCTCTCGCGGCTGTCTTCGGGTCCTGGCGGCTGGCGGAGTGCCGCAGATCTGTACAGTCTAAACGCTTCGATCAGATTCCCAGTGGAATTCGTGTGCCTTTCCGACGCCGCGTGGGCCGCTAAGCTCAGGGTCGCCAGCACGGTCGTTAAGGACTTTTCTTTTCTGGCCGCACAGTTGGCAGAGGCACAGGTCGATAACCTCTCGGTGGCAACGACCGCAAAGTGGAGGACCTGGTATGGTTCACACTTCGCTTCTGTATTGAACAGAGCCGTGGACCAGGCCAACCCGCTCCGCATCAGTCCTTCTGCTGTGCAGAGCGAACTGTACGCTGCGCTCCGCTCGCGCCCGAGCAGACGGCTGCAGGTTGAGGCCCGCTTCCGGCATAAGCTTGCCAGGTGGCAAACGTCGTCGCCAATTGGCATTCTGGCCAGGCGCGTGCCTCTCATATTCGCCAGACTCCGCAAGCTGACGCCGCCACGGGCCACGTCCGCTGGTTTCAGAGCCCAGCGGCACGGGTGGTGCACCGCCAGAAGGTTTCAAGAAGAAAGGGCTTGCTGCTTCGGTTGCTCGAGCACTGCTCGCGACTGCATTGAGCACTGCGCACACTGTCTTTTCGTTGCCAAATTTAAGCGAAGTTTTTGCGGCTTGCGGAGGTCTCTTTGGAGTGCTTTCTGTGCATAGGGCACGCAGAAGACGCAGCCCTATCACTTCATGCTCTTGCAACGTATGCTGTCCACCTTACCTCAAACCACTTTCGCGGACAGTCAAAGCCGACAGCCGCGGTTGTTAACAACGCGCTCGAGCAGTGATGCAAATCGGGAGATGCTGGACACGCTGCTCCCACGCGCACTTTTGATTCGAGGTGGTTTTAATGCAGCTATGCAGGCCCTTCGGCGGAGCCGGGCGCTGCTGTTTTTTATTGTCCGTCCCTCTCCATCTCCTCCCTCCTCCCCCTCCTCTCCTCTCCCCTTCCTCGCCCCATCTTTTTCCTCACCGGTGGAGCCGATACGTTTCAACGATATGTAGTATCGGGCCGGCGGTCCGACGACAGCGGGCTGTTTCATTGCGAGCATGCAATGAGGAGCAGGATCGGCTGTGATCCTGGCTTCGGGGCCCCCGCCGGGGCGTTACGCCCAGACGGGGGGTCTGCCTGCAACGTTTTCGCCGTTTCCCGAGTGCGGCAGGGGGCGTTGCACCCACAAGGGCGGGGTGCTTGTAACGGCCCTGGCCCCCCCGAGGTCCCCGTCCACTTCCGTATGGTTTTGCCTGCTTTCTGTTGCTGGCGGCGGTTGCAAGGTGCGCCCTTTGCCGCGCGTTTTACTGATGGCTGGCGGTTGACAGACCCTGTCGCCCAGGAAAAGGGCGAGGACGGAAAAAAACGGCCCTGGGCGTTTACTAAAAAGCCCTGCCCTGTTTGACTCCTTTGGGTGCGTTTATTAAACGGCTTCGCTTGTCGGGGTGTTTCTTATGGGGGTGGATCTCCTGCCCTCTCATCTCGCCTCCTCAGCGAGGCGCTCCGCCATCCCTGCCGCCCCCTTCCTGGCGCGCGCTCCTGTTGTGGGGCATGCTGTGCTCCCCCCCTCCCACACCCGGGGGCCCAGGCCCCCCCCCCCCGCATTTCCGCATCCCGTCGGAGGCCTCCGCGCGCCCTGCCCCGCCCCCTTGCCGTCGCCCTCCCGTCGTGCCAGCCCCTCCCCCTCCTCCTCCCCCTCCCTCCCCCTCCCCCTCCCCTCCCCTCCTCTTCCCCCCCTGTCCCCTCGTTCCAGCCCCCCCCCCCCCCTCCTCCCCCCCCCTGAGGCACAGGCCAGGGCTCGTTTCGATTCCTCCGATTCGGGTCGGTCAGATGTCGATGGCCTCCGATTTCGAGCTGGCTTCGACCTCGGCTTCCGACCTGGGCTCCGGGCTTTTCCAGTGGAGGCCTGCTGGCCTGCCGACCTCCGCCGATTCGAGCTCTCCCCACTCGGCTGCTGATTTCCGCCGATCCGATTCGCTTCGATCGCCGATCGGCTCTCCATACAGGCGCGCGGGTGCCACGTCCCGCGGCACAGTGCCCCGCCCGCCCTGGCCGCGACGGGGGCCCCCGAGGCCCTGCGGGCGCAGGCGCGCGCCACCGGGCGGCCACGCGGCCCTCTGGGGCGCAGGACCGGTCCGCGGAAGCTCGGGCGGGGTCGGGGCTTACTCGGGCTAAACGGGACCCCAAGCGAAACGTCGGTGAATTTTGTCACAGTTCCAGGTTGCCCGCAGGCGCGCGCCACCGGGCGGCCACGTGGCCCTCTGGGGCGCAGGACCAGTCCGCGGAAGCTCGGGCGGGGTCGGGGCTTACTCGGGCTAAACGAGACCCCAAGCGAAACGTCGGTTGCCTAATTTTTTGGGCGACCCCGTTTTTGCACCCGGTTGTGCTTGTGGCGTGGGATGTTTTTCCCGATGCTTCGGCGCATGGTCGCTGCCCCGGATGCATGATCGTTCCACGTAAGCCGCTTACGTGGGATGATCGAAACGGGTACGGCAAAAACGGGCACAAAGACCGACAGCAGTTCTTGTTCATGGTGAACAGGACTGGCTGTTGGTGACGCCAGTGCCTGTGTCCTTTTGAGACAGAAGGCCGCCTGCACATCGGCGGCCGCTGTTGGTTGGGGACAACATTTGTTGTTGGGTATTGTACCCATTTTTTCCCTGCCCGTTTCGGGCGTCCAAAGTGGTCGGCTCTACCGGGGGTCAGCCAATACCCTCTGGTTCGCCCGGGCTTGGGAGCCAAATGGGATCGGGGCTCTCGTAAGGGGGGTCGGCGCTGACAGGGATCAGCAAATCCCCTCTGGCTTTTCCTGGTTTGGGAGCCAAATGGGATCGAGGCTCGCTTAACGGGGGTCAGCGCTGATGGGGGTCAGCCAATCCCCTTGGGCTGACCCAGGTTTGGGAGCCGAATGGGGTCAGCGCTACCGGGGGTCAGCCAATCCCCTCTGGCTCGCCTGGGTTTTGGAGCCAAATGGGATCGGGGCTCACCTATGGGGGGTCGGCGCTGACGGGGGTCAGCCAATCTCATCGGGCTGGGCTTGGGAGCCAAATGGGATCGGGACTCTCCGTGCGGTAGGTTCGCGTCGTTTCAACGCGGCGGCGACCCCATCGCAGGCGTTCAAGGTTTAGCGCTGCCAGTTGCCCATAATCGAGCAAATAGGGGACGATCTGGCGATCGAAAATCCGCCGATCGTTCAAGGTCGAACGATCCACGCGGCGTCAGAAACCAGCGCCAGGGTCGTCACGACACGGACCTGCCGTCATTAACACCGCTGCCCTCCTTCCCATTTCTCCCCCTCCTCCCAGGCTTCGGCTCACATGGCATGTTTGCACGCGGGGCGGTGGTTTCCAGGACTGTCGCCACTGTCCAGGCGAGCTCTGCGTCATCTGCACGCGCGATGCTGCGCGCGCCTTCGTCGCGTGGTGATTGCGAAATCCACTGGTCTATCAGCAACGCTGCACGGCAGCCGCCTCCCGTAGTATGTTGCCCTACGAGATGATTGAAGCAATTATCGTTGGCACGTCCCACGTGCCGTTGCCATCGGGGATGCCCACACAACACGTTTGTCCTTTTTCCTTTATCCTCACTCTCATCCTCCATCGTCGTCCTCCCTCCTCCCTCCTCCATCTTGTCGCAACTGCATTGTTGATTTGCTGTTCAGGCCACGGTTCATAGCATGCGATGCCGTTGTGTCACCCGTGGTGTTTTTGCGTGGGGAAGGTATGCCGCCGTCCGTTTTGCTCGCGCCACGCAGAAACTGTACTGGTGTGGCGGTCGCGCCCACCACGGGGTCACATCAGCCCCGTTGGGCTCCCGAGGGCTCCCGAGACCGGCTCTCGCCAGAAGCGCCCCTCGCCCAAGGTGCCCCCAGGATGCCCAAGGAGGCCCCCACGGCCCCCAGAGCACCCCTCACGGGGCCCTGAGGGCCCCAGGGGCTCCCGCGTGGAGCGAGAAGCCGGGGGCACCTGGGGCCCGGGGGCACCTCCAGCAGCCCCCGACCGAGGGGGGCCACGCAGCACGCCCGCCAGCACGGGTGCGTGGCCGCCGCGGGGTGGCAACGCCACCGCAGGAGCGCGGCCACGTCGCCGGCACGGCCCCCCGTGCGGCCGGGGCGGCCCGTCGAGGCGAGCAGCGGGCTCGCCCGCGCAGCCCCCGTCGCAGGCGGCACCGCCCAGTCGTGCGCGCACGGCGGTCGTCGAGAGCAGGCAGCTCTGGACCCCCGGGGTCCCAGGCTGCTGCGGGCGCCCTCCCAGATGGCTGCAGGGCCTCGAGCGGCCGTCCCCGGCCCCTCCTCGTTTTTTTTGTTGTCAGGGGGTGGGCGGAGGCCCCGCCTGCTGCCACCGCCTCCCTGCGTCATGCCGCGGCCCCCTGCTTCCGAGCAGGCGGGCAGGCTACGTGTGCGCGTCGGCCCCTCAAAAGGGCGACGTACACTCGCGCTCGGCAGTCTCGTAGCAGGAAGCCCGGCGGCGGGCACCCTCTGGCCACGCCGCAGGGGAGAACGTCTGCTGCAATGTGTGCTGTGGCACTGCCTGTTCGCGTCGGGCGTGCGCCAATACGCTCTGTAGTGCCCCTGCACCGCTGCCACGCTGGAGCGGACTGCCCCGCCTCGCTGCCGACGAGCAAAAAAGTTCGTGTCGGCCGTGCGCCTCCCAGCGTCAGCACACAGTGTCAGCATGTCCTTCGTCGCCCCGCCCCTGGACGGCAGCCGCTCCTCTGAGGAGTGGGGGCCGACAGGGGCCCTCACCCTGTCGAGTCGAGTGGCGAGTTGCCCTTGCCCTGGTCCTCGAGGGGGCCTTGCGGCCGCCATCCTTTTTTTGTTGTTGCGAGCTTGCGCCCCCCTGGGTCTGGCCCCGGGCAGTCTGCTGAAGGAGTTCTGTCCGCCTCCGGCGATCACTCTCTGAGGAGTCCCGTCCGATATCCAGTCTACAGTGGAGACCCATGCTAAGAAGCGCCCTGCTCGCCTCCGGGGTGCCCTGGGTGTCTTGTGGTTCGGTGGTTTTGCCGTGGAAAAAGCGTGACGTTCCCACACCAAAAATCTATGGACGTCCTGGGGTCTCAGGCTTGGGTTTCTTGTGTAATGTTTCTTGTGGACGGGCCCCTACTGTACCACGCGCTTGCCGAAGAGTCGTGCCGCGAGCGGCGTTTCAGCCGTGGAAGCTTCGCGGGGTGACTTGGAGAGGTCTGTCACGTGTCTGACTCTGACAAGCCCATCCCTAATGTGGGCTCGATTGTACTTCTGTGACGACCGACTTGCGATTCCAGTGTAAGGGTTGGTAGCCGTGTAGCTCTGAGTGCAGCATTTCTCTGCCCAGAGCTCTCGCGCTAAACTCTAGGATTCGGTTACGTTGGTTTCCCTTCTGTTCGCGAGAGTGCGAATTTCCGCAACGATGCGAATGTTCCCAGGTGTAGCCATGTGTTCCACACGATTGCTTCTAGCACGATTCCTTGAGACATGAAACAACAATGGCATAAGGCATCTTTCTTCTTAGACATGAGACAACAATGGCTTCCGCCTAATACTTCTTCGCAATGTATTCAAAATCGTGCTGTCGCGCGGGATTTCGTTACACTTTATGCAGGAATCGCGCTCTCGCGTGGTAATTCCTCCCGATGTACTCAGGAGTCACCATCTCGCGCTAGCCCCTCGCACGATTTACTTGCAAATCGCTCTGTCCCTCGAGACTTCCTTGCGATTCTTGCAGGAATCACGCTTCAGCAACCCGCCTGCTCGACCCGGCCGCCTGGGCCCGCCTCCCCGGCCCGCCCGTTGCCATGTGATTTTTGTTCCCAGCCCCCTTCCTGCTAATCCCTCTGGTGTTCCGTCTTTCTCCCCCTTCCATCCGTTCTCTCTTCCCCTTAGTTAGCGGCTGCGCTAAATGCACGTGGCAGGTGAGGAAGATACACCCCAAGGGGGTATGATCGAAGACGAAGAGGGCGGGTACCGAGAGTTTGGGATGTAAGTGTTGAATGGCACACGGGCAGATCGGAGCGAACTGTCTTGGACGGCGAGGTCGTGTCTTTGTTCCCCGTATTTCCTCTGTCTCTGTCTATGCTTGTCTGTAGGTGTCTCTCTCTTTCTCTCGTTCTTTCCCCTTTTTACCTTTCTCTCTCTCTCTCTGTTTCTGTCCGTCTCTCCACATCCGCACCTCCTGCACCGTATGGTCCATGCAGTGAGCGTGTAGAGCGTCGGGGCTTTGGACTGAGGTGGTGCCGGACAGCCCCGACGACGTGACCGTCGAGTTGATCACCAAGGAACTCTCAGGCCCAGGGTTGCGGCCGCCGTGTTCTGATTGCTGAGCCCTCAGTCATTGCTTCAGCTTTGTCTCGATTACGGAAGTTCCCTCTCTGTTGGATGCGCCTCAGTGTTCCGAACGCGGGTTGGGAGGAGGAGGAGGAGGAGGAGGAGGAGGAGGGAGGAGGGAGGAGGGAGGAGGGAGGAGGGAGGAGGAGAGGAGGGAGGAGGAAGGAGGAGGAGGGAGGAGGGGGGAGGAGGAGAGGAGGGAGGAGGGAGGAGGGAGGAGGGAGGAGGAGGGAGGAGGAGGAGGGAGGAGGGAGGAGGGAGGAGGCGAGGAGGGAGGAGGGAGGAGGGAGGAGGGAGGGGAGGAGGGAGGAGGGAGGAGGGAGGAGGGGAGGGAGGGAGGAGGAGTGGAGGAGGGAGGAGGGAGGAGGGAGGGAGGAGGAGGAGGGAGGAGGGGGAGGGGGGGGAGGGGGGGAGGGAGGAGGGAGGAGGGAGGGAGAGGAGGAGGGGGGAGGGGGGAGGAGGAGGGGAGGAGGAGGAGGAGGAGGAGGAGGAGGAGGAGGAGGAGGAGGAGGAGGAGGGAGGAGGAGGATGGAGGAGGAGGAGGAGGCGGCGGAGGAGGAGGAGGAGGAGGAGGAGAGGAGGAGGAGAGGAGGAAGAAGAAGGAAGAAGAAGAGAAGAAGAATGAGGAGGGAGGAGAAGAGGAGGAGGAGGAGGAGGAGGAGGAGGAGGAGGAGGAGGAGGAGGAGGAGGAGGAGGAGGAGGAGGAGGAGGAGGAGGAGGAGGAGGAGGAGGAGGAAGAGGAGGAGATGGAGGAGGAGGAGGAGGAGGAGGGAGGAGGAGGAGGAGGAGGAGGAGGAGGAGGAGGGAGGACGACGAGGTTGGGGACGTGGACGTGGAGGGCAGGGTGGGCCAGGACGACGGCGACGTAGATGTGGAGGTGGAGGAGGAGGTAAGGGCGGAGTGGGAGGGCAGTGGCAGTGGGCTGTGGTGCTGCTCAGCGGGATCTGAAATTAAGGGCGGAGTGGGAGGGCAGTGGCAGTGGGCTGTGGTGCTGCTCAGCGGGATCTGAAATTCGAGTGTGGTGCTCTACGTCGCCAGCTACAGTGCTGGAATCTGCGCGTGCCAGGACGACGGCCCAAAGCATGACCAGCTACAGTGCTGGGATCAGTGCCTGTGCGAAATGTGGGCCCGGGGGGAGCAGTTGCAGCAAGGTTCGGCGTCGCTCTCCGGAGTATGGGAGGCCACGTGGGGACCGAGCGTGACCAGCTACAGTGTTGGGATCGGCGCCTTTGAGAAACCTGGGCGGTGGGGGTTGGCAGTGGTGCTGCTCAACGGGATGTAGAATCCGGAAATAAGCCCAACGTCGCCAGCTACAGCGTTGGAATGGGCGCGTGCGAGGGGGGGGCGAACAGTTGCAGCAGGACTCAGCGTCGCTCAGCGGGGTTGGGGGGCCACATGGGATCCCGGTGGGACCAGCTACAACGTTGGGATCGGCGCCTGTGAGAAAATCGGGGCCGTGACAGTGGGCAGTGGTGCTGCCCAGCGGGATGTTGTATTCGGATGGGGGGCCCAGTGTCACCAGCTACACTGTTAGAGTCGGATGTGGGGCCCAACGCCACCAGCTACAGTGTTAGAGGGTGCGCGTGCGCGTGGGGGCGAATACTTGCAGCAGTATTCGGCGTCGCTCAGCGGGGTGTAGGAGGCCACATGGGGGCCCGGCGTGACCAGCTACAGTGTTGGGATCGGCGCCTTGAAAAATCTGGGCGGTGGCAGTGGGCAGTGGTGCTGCTCAGCGGGATGTGGAATCCGGAAGTGGGCCCAACGTCGCCAGCTACAGTGTTGGAATGGGCGCGTGCAAAGCGGGCGTATAATTGCAGTTGGAATCGGCGTCGCTCAGCGGGGTTTGGGGGGCCACATGGGGTCCCGGCGTGACTGGTTACAGTGTTGGGATCGGCGCCTGTGAGAAAATCTCGGCGGTGGCAGTGGGCAGTGGTGCTGCTCAGCGGGATGTTCAATTCGGATGTCGGGTCCAACGTCACCAGCTACACTGTTAGAGTCGGATGTGGGGCCCAACGCCACCAGCTACAGTGTTAGAGGGTGCGCGTGCGAGGGGGAGGGCGTACAGCTGCAGCAGGATTCGGCGTCACTCAGTGGGGTGTAGGGGGCCACATGGGGGCCCGGCGTGACCAGCTACAGTGTTGCAATCGGCGCCTGTGTGACATCTGGGCGGTGGCAGTGGGCAGTGGCGCTGCTCAGCGGGAGGTGGAAGTCGGAGGTGGGGCTCAACGTTACCAGCTACAGCGTTGGGATCGGCGCCTGCGAGAATTCTGGGCAATGGCAGTGCAGAGCGGGCAGTGGCAGCATGGGCCGTGACCCGGAGCCTCTAGGGCGTGAGCGCCGCTGGCATCCGGGTGCGGCTCGCGCGCATGGGAGCGCGCGGGGGCATGTCCCCTTCAGGAGCAGCAAGAGCAAGAGCAAGAGGATGAGGAGGAGGAGGAGGAGCAGGAGGAGGAGAAGGAGAAGGAGGAGGAAGAGGAGGAGGAGGGGGGATGAGGAGGAGGAGGAGGAGGAGGAGGGAGGAGGAGGAGGAGGGAGGAGGAGGAGGAGGAGGAGGTGGAGGAGGAGGAGCAGGAGGAGGGAGCAGGAGGAGCAGGAGGAGGAGGAGGAGGAGGAGGAGCGCTGGCGACCCAGGGGGCGGGGTGGGGGCGCGCATCCCAGTGACGGAGGGGCTTCGACGCTCGCTTCCGCCTCCACGTCGGTGGCCAGAACAGTGGCCACTGCTCGCTCGATCCGGCCGGGCCGTCTGCGTGGTGGTGTCCTTGCTCCTCTGTCCCTCCTCTGTCCTTGCTCCTCCTCTGTCCCTCTTTTGTCCCTCCTCTGTCCCTCCTCCCTCCTCCCTCCCTCCCTCCCTCCTCCTCGAGACCATTTCTTTTTGCTTGGGGCATGGCGGGCGTCATGGCCCCCGCCCCCCCCCCCCCCCCTCCCCCCCTACGACGTAACGCTCCCCCCTCAGTGCGCGCCGGGCACCGCCGCCGTGCGTACTGAGATCCGCGTAGGTGTCCGCGTAGGAATCCGCATAGGAGTCTGGTCCGCAGTCGTCGTCGTCGTCGTCGTCGTCGTCGTCGACGTCGTCGTCGTCGTCGTCGTCGTCGTCGTCGTCGTCGTCGTCGTCGCTCGTGGCTCGTGGCTCGTGGCTCGTCGCTCCTCGTCGTCGTCGTCGTGCGCGCGGACGCGGCTTTTTCCAAACCATCCTGCGGTGTTGGGTCCTCGTTTTGAACAGACGGTCCCCGCGTTCTCCTTCTCTCCTCCTCTTCCCCCTCCTCCTCCACCGTCCGCATGCGTTCCGCACACCCAGTACATCGTTCCGTGGCCATCCTCCCCCTCCTCCCTGCGTTTCACCCACCCAGTACAGCGTTTCGCGGCCCCATAGGGAGCCCCACCGAAGGTCCCAGTGCTACCGTCCGCATGCGTCCCGCACACCCAGTACAGCGTTTCGTGGCCCCATAGGGAGCTCCACCGAAGGCCCCAGTGCTACCGTCCCTATGCGTCCCGCACATCCAATACAGCGCTTCGTGGCCCCAAAGGGAGCTCCACCGAAGGTCCCAGTGCTACCGTCCGGATGAGTCCCGCACACCCAGTACAGCGTTTCGTGGCCCTCCTCCCCCTCCTCCCTGCGCTTCACCCACCCAGTACAGCGTTTCGCGGCCCCATAGGGAGCCCCACCGAAGGTCCCAGTGCTACCGTCCGCATGCGCCCCGCACACCCAGTGCAGCGCTTCGTGGCCCCATAGGGAGCTCCACCGAAGGTCCTAGTGCTACCGTCCGCATGCGTCCCGGACACCCACCCTCCTCCCCCTCCTCCCTGCGTTTCACCCACCCAGTGCAACGCTTCGTGGCCCCATAGGAAACCCCACCGAAGGTCCCAGTGCTACCGTCCGCATGCGTCCCGCACGCCCAGTACAGCGCTTCGTGGCCCCATAGGGAGCCCCACCGAAGGTCCCAGCGCTACCGTCCGCATGCGTCCCTCACACCCAGTACATCGTTTCGTGGCCCCATAGGGAGGTCCACCGAAGGCCTCAGTGCCCCCGTCCGCATGCGTCCCCGAAGCCCAATTTGGCATTTTCACCCACCCACTGCAGCGCTTCGTGGCCCCATAACGGGGCTCCACCCATGACCCCAGTGCCACCGTCCGCATGCGTCCGGGAAGTGTAATTTGGCATTTTCACCCGCGCAGTGCAGCGCTTCGTGGCCCCATAGGGGGCTCCCCCCAAGCCCCCAGTGGGGCCGTCCGCATGCGTCCCAGAAACCCAATTTGTCATTTTCACTCACTCAGTAGAGCGCTTCGTGGCCCCATAGGGAGCTCCACCGAAGCCTTCGGTGGGACCGTCCGCATGCGTCCCGGTAACCCAAGTCGGCACACCACCCACACAGTACAGATTTCCCCCCCGCCCAATGCAGCGCTTCGTGGCCCCATAGGGAGCTTCACCGAAGCAGGTATTCACAATTACGGTACCCACAACTGCATATGGTTGGGACCTTCGCCAGGATAATTTTTCCCAGCCATCCTGTGTTGGGTCCGCGTTTTGACGAGACGTCGCCCCGCGTTCTTCTCTCCTCCTCTTCCCCCTCCTCCTTTCCACCGTCCGCATGCGTCCCGCACACCCAGTACAGCGCTTCGTGGCCCCATAGGGAGCCCTACCGAAGGTCCCAGTGCTACCGTCCGCATGAGTCCCGCACACCCAGTACAGCGTTTCGTGGCCCCATAGGGAGCTCCACCGAAGGTCCCAGTGCTACCGTCCGCATGCGTCCCGCACACCCAGTACAGCGTTTCGTGGGTCTCCTCCCCCTCCTCCCTGCGTCTCACCCACAGTACAGCGCTTCGTGGCCCCATAGGGAGCCCCACAGAAGGCCCCAGCGCCCCCGTCCGCATGCGTCCCGGAAACCCAGTACAGCGCTTCGTGGCCCCATAGGGAACCCCACCGAAGGTCCCAGTGCTACCGTCCGCATGCGTCCCGCACACCCAGCACAGCGCTTCGTGGCCCCAAAGGGAGCTCCACCGAAGGTCCCAGTGCTACCGTCCGCATGCGTCCCGCACACCCAGTACAGCGTTTCGTGGCCCTCCTTCCCCTCCTCCCTGCGTTTCACCCACCCAGTACAGCGTTTCGTGGCCCCATAGGGAACCCCACCGAAGGTCCCAGCGCTACCGTCCGCATGCGTCCCGCACACCCAGTACAGCGTTTCTTGGCCCCATAGGGAGCCCCACCGAAGGCCCCAGTGCCCCCGTCCGCATGCGTCCCGGAAGCCCAATTTGGCATTTTCACCCACCCAGTGCAGCGCTTCGTGGCCCCATAGGGGGCTCCACCCAAGGTCCCAGAGCCACCGTCCGCATGCGTCCGGGAAGTGTAATTTGGCATTTTCACCCGCGCAGTGCAGCGTTTCGTGGCCCCATAGGGGGCTCCACCGAAGCCCCCAGTGGGACCGTCCGCATGCGTCCCGGAAGCCCAACTTGGCACTTTTTTCACTCACTCAGTAGAGCGCTTCGTGGCCCATAGGGAGCTCCACCGAAGCCCTCAGTGGGACCGTCCGCATGCGTCCCGGTAACCCAAGTCGGCACACCACCCACACAGTACAGCGTTCCCCCCCGCCAAGTGCAGCGCTTCGTGGCCCCATAGGGAGCTTCACCGAAGCAGATATTTACAATTACGGTACCCACAACTGCATATGGTTGGGACCTTCGCCAGGATATTTTTTTCATTCCGGGCCGATGACGGCAATCATGTGGGGGGGGTGGAGGGGGTCGATGACGTCACGCTTCGCGCCGGCGGCGCCTTGGAATGCTTAAGAATTACAGAGGACGGGTGGCGCCAGCATGTAGGTGGCGATCTGCACCACAACGCCTGTGTACACCTCAGTGCCTGCGTGCACCTCAGCGCCTGTGTACACCACACCGCCTATGTACACCACAGCGCCTGCGTACACTACATCAGCCGTGTGCAACACAGCAGTGTACACCACAATGCCTGCGTGCATTGCAGTGCCTGTGTAGACCGCGGCGCTTGCGTGCACTACAGCAACCGCGTGCAACACAGCACCACTATGGTATGTAGAATGTTAAAAGGAAGCAGTATGACAAAATGGAGCGTTTGTGTATTCCACCGAAAACACCAGAAAATAATCCTTATGGACAATGGAGCGCCAGGGGAATCTACGAGTCCTTCCGAGTTCGCCACCATCACCGTAACTCTCCCATCTGCGTCCAGGAGGCTCCAGCTAAACTGGCCGTCCGAGAACCAAGTGGGCCGATTCAAAAGACCATTCTGCGATGCACACTGAGTTGCGCACGTACGCTGTAGCGCCAACCCGCACGACAGGGGGTAAGGAGGAGGAGGAGGAGGAGGAGGAGGAAGAGGAGGAGGAGGAGGAGGAGGAGGAAGAGAAAAAGGAGGAGGAGGAGCAGGAGAAGGAGGTGGAAGTGGAGGAGAAGGGAAGAGGAAAAAACGTCGCATTCGATTATCATCACTTTCCTGGCGTGGCGCTTCCGCAGCAGATCCTCACGTACAGGGTCCTTCTACCTGTCCTATGCACGCAGGCATTGTGGTGTACAGTAGCGCTGCGTTGCACGCGGATGCTGTGCTGTAGACAGGCGCTGTGGCGTGCACAGGCGCCGCGGTGCGCGCCAGCATTGTGGTGTACACAGGCGCTGTGTTGCACATGGTTGCCTCTGGTGTGCCTATGTACACCGGCTCTGTAGTGTACGCAAGCACTGCAGTGTACACAGGCGCTGCGTTGCACACGGTTGTTGCGATGTACGCAGGCGCTGTGGTGTACACGCGCGCTGTGGTGCACGCGAGCGTTGTGGTGTACACAGGCGCAGGGGGGCAGATCGCCACCTACATCGTCGTCGTCGTCGTCGTCGTCGTCGTCGTCGTCGTCGTCGTCGTCGCTCGTCGCTCGTCGCTCGTCGCTCGTCGCATCGTGCGCGTGGGCGCGGCTGTGGTGCCGGAGCCACGGCGGGGGGGGGGGGCGTTACGTCATACCCCCCCCCGCCCACCCCCCCATGACGCCCGTCATCGCCGAACATATAAAACGCTTTCCTCCCTCCCCTCCTCCCTCCTCCCTCTTCCTCTCTTCTCCCTCCCTCCCTCCTCCCTCCCCTCCCTCCTCCTCCTCCTCCCTCCCTCCTCCCTCCCTCCCTCCTCCCTCCTCCCTTCTCCCTCCCTCCTCCCTCCTCCCTCCTCCCTCCTCCCTCCTCCCTCCCGCGCCCCAGTGTTCACGATGGGCGCTCGGGGCAGTTTGGCCTCATGCTGCCACGCCGCGTGTTTTTTCTGGACCTGCGTCACCAGTGCGCCTCGGGGGTTCTGGAACGCGGAGTCCAAGAAGGACTGTCAAAGGCGCACGCCTCCGGAACGGGGAGGGAATGGAGGAAGGTGAGGATGAAGGAGAAGGAAGGAGAAAGAGAAAGAGGAGGAGGAGGAGAAGGAGGAGGATGATCGGATGGGAAACGCTGGGGACGATTTCAAGCTGTTCATCCATGGCCAGGAGGAGGAGGGCCGCCGACGTCTCGATTGGACCTCCTATACTGTTGACTCCTGCCCTGCTGCCGCCAGAGCTGGAGTGGCCAGACTGCACGTCGCGCGGCAACGTCAAGCCAGACGGGCAGGACTCCATCAAGGCTGGCGGTCTTTCCGCTCTCTGTTTGTCAGCCTCGTCCACCGCTGTTTCTGGGAGCGCCAACCCATAGGACGAACAGGTACCGGTGCCGCTGCTCTCCTGTGGAAGGCCCTCGTCGCCGTGGCTCGATTCGCCGCGGAATCCTGGTCGGAACGCGCCCCCAGAGAGGTCCGTGGAGCAGCGGCATCGGTACATTCTGCCGCCCCCAGCAGCCATCCCACCTGCGCCGGTCCTGGCCAGGCCCATCCTGATCTGAGCACTGGAATCGAACCAGTGTTAAGTCGGGCGTGTCCCTCTACAGGAGGAAGGTTCAAAAATTGTCGAAAAATTGCCTGGGGACGATTTGGGGGGTATTTTTGTTGCCATTTGGGAGCATTTTTTGACTATTTCTATTTTTCGTCTAAACTCCGCCTGTAGGGGGACGTGCCCGACCTAGAACCAGTTGCAGTCTGCGCTCCCTGGGGGAGTGCACGAAGGCCGGTGGCCATCCCCACGGTGTGCACCAGGCAGCCGGGCAGGCCCAGGAGGAGGACAAACGGGCCCAGAGCGCTCCAGAGCGCTCGCCGAGCGTGCCGCTCGCTCCGAGAAGGCCGCGGCGCCCGCTGCACCGTCCGGCCCGCCAGCTCTCAGCGGTTCCCGGCGTGGTCTCCTCCGAGTCGTTACTCCTCCCGCCTCCCCGGTAGTTGATCTCCCTCACCATCTTCCCTCCTCGCCTCTGCCAGCTCTCAATTCCTCGGGCTCGGGATGGAGGCGCCCCAAGCAGAAGCCCTCCCTGCAGCCACCATGCGCCCTCCTCCTTCTCTCACACCTCGAGTGCGGTCGGGATGGGTTGAAGGTGCCGCATGCAGTCAAGACGAAGGGGGAACTCGCAGTCACCGCATTATGCTTGAAGCAACCCTTGACGCTCCGCGTATCCCCACCGGCCCATCCGCGAGCAAACGCCGGGCGGGTTACCCGGATCGGGGATGTGTAGCAGAGTGCCACGCTGTGGGAGCTGCAAGGAGACACCTTGGGGCCATCGCTGAGCCCTACGAGGATCTCGGGGCCCTGCTTGGTCAATGTTGGAGGCCTTTGGGGCCCCCCTTGGGGCTCTCTTGGGGGCATCTTGAAGGCCTTGGGGGCGCGCTTGGGGACATCTTGAAGGCCATCGATCAAAGAAGGGGGGAGGTAACTACTGGCGGCCCCCGCCTCGAATACCTGAAAGTTCGCTATAGGCGCCCAGTCGGTGCGCTCTTTGGCGCTCTTGGTAACATCTTGGGCCTTCTTGGTTCCTTCTTGGGTCTGTCTTGGGCCATCTTTGAGCCATCGTGAGGCCTCACAGGCTCATCGAAAGCGCAAAGGCGAGACGACACAGAAGCTGTGCGTTTCCTTTTGTTTTGGAATGGTTTGGGCCTCTAGGAGGGGTCCTTGGGAGACTCCGCAGCCACTGGAGACGTCTTGGGGCGGTTTGGGGGCTTCTTGGAGGCATGTGAGAAGCTATATAGAGCCATCCAGGGCTATCCTGAGAGAGGGGGTATAGGGGAGAGGTAAACTTTTCCCCGAGGGGGGAAAATGAGGCTCGACTAAGAGACTTGTAGAACCATCTACGCCCACAGGGCGGGTGGGAGCCACGACGTCCAACACATCAGGGCTTGCGTCGTAGAGGCGTTGGATAAAGTTCTTAGCCGTGTAGCGCACGGCGGGACGCCAAGCTTTCAAAGAACAAGTTGCTCGGAGCTGCATTTGGTCGGAGTTGCATCTGGTCTGGCTGGTCTGGCTGGTTTGGCTGGTCTGGCTGGTCTGGTTTGAGCCCAGTGCTGAAGCTTTAGCTTAGGATCTGGGCGAGAGTGGTTTAGGGGAGGTCCAGGGAGGCAGCGCCGGGGACGACCACCGAAAAGCGTTTTTTTTTGCATTGCCGTTTTTTTTGCATTGCAGTTTTTTTGTTGCATTGCAGTCTGGCTGGTCTGGCTGGTCTGGTTTGAGCCCAGTGCTGAAGCTTTAGCTTAGGATCTGGGCGAGAGTGGTTTAGGGGAGGTCCAGGGAGGCAGCGCCGGGGACGACCACCGAAAAGCGTTTTTTTTTCATTGCAGTTTTTTTGCATTGCATTTTTTTTGCATTGCAGTCTGGCTGGTCTGGCTGGCCTGGTTTGAGCCCAGTGCTGAAGCTTTAGCTTAGGATCTGGGCGAGAGTGGTTTAGGGGAGATCCAGGGAGGCAGCGCCGGGGACGACCACCCATGTATTTCAAGCCACCTTTTCGCCCCCAAAAGGTAGCTTGAAATACAAGCTATTTTTTGGCCGTTCCGTAATGGGCGACGACGACGACGGCGACGGCGACGACGACGACGACGACCGACGACGACGGCGACGACGACTCACACCGCATAGCTTGCATAATACATCCTATACCACATAGATTCCACCGCGTAGCTCAAATAACATAGCATATACCACATAGGTTGCACCGCCATGGTGCAGCAACTTGCTGTTTGGGGCCCGCGACTGCCGACATATTCCAAATTCGCTTCTTGCTTTCGTTTGCACACCCCTTTTGGAAAAAAAACATGTAGGTATTTCAAGCCACCTTTTCGCCCCCAACAGGTGCCTTGAAATACCAACCATTTTTTGGCCGATCCGCGGCCGAGAAATTAATTGGCGACGACGCCCGACGACGGCGACGACGACGACGACGACGACGACGACCGACGACCGACGACGACGACGACGACCGACGACGACGGAAAGGGGATGGCGACGGAGGGAACATCAGCAGCCATATCAGTTCTTATGCCCCAAAGTAAGGCGTTGGGGCATAAGAACTTTGCGCTTCGAGCGGCTTAGAATACTTAGCCGTGCTTGGGGGTGTCTGGTTATTGGTGGACCCCCTATGCTTCATGACGGCACCGGGGGCGACGCTCGACTGATCCAAGCCTGGCCCCTGAACGCAAGGACTTGTGATACATTTGCGAGCACACATCTAGAATTTCCCTGGCTAGTAACATGGGCGGCTCTGAAAACCAACGCGGTGCAATATATCCGTTGTACTTTATGTGGTTCAAGTCAGTCGAATCCCATGAAGCGGACACGCGGCTTTTCTTAGGGTACCCTTGGGTCCTTGCCTCTGTGGCCCGTCCTTAGCCGTTTTCACTGGCCAGCCTTTCAAGGTACCTTTGGGGCGGTCGCCGTCTCTCGTCTGCGCGGCGTGGCCTTCCTCTGGGGGGCAGTTCTGAGGACGCGGGCTGCGAGGGTACCCTAGGCTGTCCTTCGGCGCGTCGCCCTCGCCCTCGCCCGTCGCTCAATTTGCGGGCGGGCGTGGCCTTAGGACGTAGGCGAAGCAGGGCTTCCTTGGCCGTCTTTGGGCGCGTCGCCGCTCCCCTCGGTTGCGTTCTGCCTTCGCGGGCGCACGCTGCCTTACGGACGCGGCCCGGGCAAGATTCCTTTGGCCGTCCTTACGCGCGCCGCTCCCGCTTCGGCGAACATGTAAGGTGCCAGCTCTACTGCTCGCGCAATCTTCCCACCCACCAACTCGAAACGTGGTTTGCAAACGCCATGCGGCGGCGATTGCGATGACTGCATGGCACTGGCTGGCGCATCGTTGCGGCCGCGCTAGCGCGCGCACGCTCGCGCGCAGAGCGGCCGGTCGGTCTGGCGCGACCGACGCGGCCGCGGTGGCGCTGACCGCCGGGCACTTGCCAGTTCGGAGGAGCGCCCCGAGGGTGGGGCATGTATGTCTTGCTCGACCATTGCCATTCTGGTCCCTGCCTGCCCGACCATCGGCGGTGGTGGGTAGTAAAGCGGCACCTTCTTTATCCCACCGCCACCATTGCCATCTTATCCCTTTGTGCCTCCATCATACCATGAATCATCCAAAACGCGATGGCGCTCCCGTTTTCTACTCTCTTGGGTTGTTTCGGGACAGTCTAGGACCGTTTCGAATGCAAAATGGATCAGATTGGAACGCTTTTGGTCGGTCTTGGGTTCTCTTGGTGCGCTCTTGAGCGCCTTGGAGCCCTCTCGAAGGCCTTCTGGGGCCGGTCGTGACCCCTTCTGATTCCGGACCTCGTCGGAGGGTACCAGATTGGGTGACGGCCATCCGGGGGGGGGGTCCTTTATCGCTTGGTATGTCATACACATATATAATAAAGTTCTTAGCCGTGTAGCGCACGGCGGGACGCCAAGCTTTCAAAGAACAAGTTGCTCGGAGCTGCATTTGGTCGGAGTTGCATCTGGTCTGGCTGGTCTGGCTGGTTTGGCTGGTCTGGCTGGTCTGGTTTGAGCCCAGTGCTGAAGCTTTAACTTAGGATCTGGGCGAGAGTGGTTTAGGGGAGGTCCAGGGAGGCAGCGCCGGGGACGACCACCGAAAAGCGGTTTTTTTTGCATTGCAGTTTTTTTTGCATTGCAGTTTTTTTTGCATTGCAGTCTGGCTGGTCTGGCTGGTCTGGTTTGAGCCCAGTGCTGAAGCTTTAGCTTAGGATCCGGGCGAGAGTGGTTTAGGGGAGGTCCAGGGAGGCAGCGCCGGGGACGACCACCTAAAAACGGTTTTTTTTGCATTGCAGTTTTTTTTGCATTGCAGTCTGGCTGGTCTGGCTGGTCTGGTTTGAGCCCAGTGCTGAAGCTTTAGCTTAGGATCTGGGCGAGAGTGGTTTAGGGGAGATCCAGGGAGGCAGCGCCGGGGACGACCACCCATGTATTTCAAGCCACCTTTTCGCCCCCAAAAGGTAGCTTGAAATACAAGTTTTTTTGGGCCGTTTCGTAATGGGCGACGACGACGACGGCGACGGCGACGACGACGACGACGACCGACGACGACGGCGACGACGACTCACACCGCATAGCTTGCATAATACATCCTATACCACATAGATTCCACCGCGTAGCTCAAACAACATATCATATACCACATAGGTTGCACCTCCATGGTGCAGCAACTTGCTGTTTGGGGCCCGCGACGGCCGACATATTCCAAATTCGTTTCTTGCTTTCGCTTTCGCACCCCTTTTGGGAAACAAACTTATGTGTTTCAAACCACCTTTTCGCCCCCAAAAGGTGCCTTGAAATACCAACCATTTTTTGGCCGATCCGCGGGCGAGCAATTAATTGGCGACGACGCCCGACGACGGCGACGACGACGACGCCGACGACGACCGACGACCGACGACGACGACGACGACCGACGACGACGGAAAGGGGATGGCGACGGAGGGAACATCAGCAGCCATATCAGTTCTTATGCCCCAAAGCAAAGTAAGGCGCTGGGGCATAAGAACTTTGCGCCTTGAGCGGCTTAGAATATTAGCGGTTGAGAAGTTGTCGCAACCATTTTTCTGCATGGTTGTTCTTCATGTTCGGCCCCTGAGGGCTGGTTTCGGATCCCGGGAAAACTACTCGGACGATCAGCTGGTCCCATGGAAAAGAGGGCAGAGGGTTCCGTAGCCATTTTGATTCAAGTGTTTGCGCACTGGCCCCATACACTCCACCTCTGCAAGAGGCTTCCGCTTGGAATACACACGAATTCCGATATTCCCCGAGATGGGGCGCAATGGTGCTTTGCTTCCCGTGGCACTGGCCGTGCTTAGCGGTTGCCGCGCGCTCGAGGTCCAGAAGTTTGGCTCCGCGCGCGTCGAAAAACTCGGCGCGGAGCGGGCCGATGCGGAGGGCCTTCAGCGCGAGTGGGCGCAGACCCGCGTCCGAGCAGACATGGCGGGCTCGTTCGACATGTTCCAAGAAAGCGAGCAGGCATGGCCACAGACGCCCACAGTGCCGCACGCACCTCCTGCGCTCCAGGGCGGGATCACTTCAGACTCTATGGCAGAGATGCAGAAGCTCCTCGAGGAGAAGATCGCTGCAATTACGGCAGAAGAGACTAAGCGCAAATTGAAGGAGGCTATGTAAGGCGAAGAAGTTTCATGAGGCCGTATGAAGTTTTGAAAGGTGATGGGCAGACGGAGCTTGCAGCGAAGTGAGATGCGTGCCCCGTGGAGATGCAGTCTTCCCTTGTTGTAGCAGCATCGTCCACGCTCGAGGTCTGAGTTCAGCACGAGTTATGCTGTTTCTGCAATGAATAAAATGAAAGGGTCGAGAGTGCTGAGTTCCCAAGGCTCGAAAACATAGAGGAGGTTTGGAGGTGGGGCCCTGTGAGCTTCGGTGGACGCTTGTGAGCGACTGTGGGCTTACTTGTCCGCGTGACGTTTGCAGGGATGAGCTGGACGGGCTTGGTTGCCCTCTCGGATGGGCTGCGCGACTTGAATCGGGATGATAATCTTTGGCCGGTGAGGCAGGGGGGACGTAACAGCTCACCAGGGCAATTGAAGGGATAACGACAGGAGGTGCCGGCATGTGCATAGAAGCCCCAGGGTAGGGATAATGTGTGACAGCCTTCAGACATCTGCCAGGGGATTGAAGACAGAGGGCAAAATAAGGAGAAAGAGAGAGAGGGAGACCCTTTGCAGTCTTTGTGGTACTACATGCAGTACTTCGGGCCTGTGGTAGCGACGCGGTCACGGTCGCATACTGCGGAGTTTGCAGCCTCCTCCTTCTCCTCCTCAGCATGGAGCATGGGGAGCAGAGTGTCTTGGAGCTCCTGCCGGAAGGAAAAGCCAATAATTCCAGAACAACATGAAGAATGACGCGGACGCTGCAACATTTTCAGGGCGCCACGATCATCCGCAGCAGTGCAAGATGCAAACGAAAAAGCTGCAGCTGGACCGCTAGCGCACCATAGTTGAAGACGGGGAGAAGGAGGAAGGAAGATAATCAACAGGAGGAGGAGGAGGAGGAGGAGGAGGAGGAGGGAGAGGAGGAAAAGGATTTGGTGGAGAACGAGGCGAGCCAGGCGGACGGAGGAGGGGAAAACAAACACATAGAAGGATCAAACAAGAAGGAAGAAGGAACACAGTGAAGAGGAGAGGGTGGTTTCCGAGGCCATGTGCTTGGGCATGGTGAAGCCCTACTTCTCGCCGGTGACGGCAAGCAGGCGAACGCGGTTGCTGCCCAACGTGACCAAGTTGTGTACAAAGGAGCCGCCAGAGGGGGAGCGTAGCAACATCAGGACCAGGGTTGGTGTCTAGTGTATCGCAGCGCAAAAGTGTTTTAATCGCTGCGCTTAGTACAGCGATGACTGATGGACTGACTGGGACTCACTGGCTGGCTGGTTGGCTGGCTGAAGTACGTTTTATTTCATCCATTCTCTTATTAAGTATATAATTGAAGCTTGGCCAACGCATAGACAGTAAGCCAGCCACACATATATATACACACACTTAAATGCATATTAATTAAGATGGCCGATTAGGGATTTGAACAGCCAGACACAGACTTGTAGAAGCACGTACAGGCAACGACATGTGCGCATACATACATCGATTCATCGAAGACGCCTACGGCGATTCACCGCCGCCCCCTGCCTTTTGGAATCGCCCATGCGGCCGAACGTTGTGGCCACAGCTCTTCCAAGCTATCCGACCACGTGTTCCCTCAGCCGTTGTGGAAACCCTCCGGGGAACACGCGGGGGAGAAAGAAGAAGCGGAGGAAAACGAGGATACATAGAGGAGGAGGAGGAGGAGGAGGAGGAGGAGGAGGAGGAGGAAAATTTCAGTGCACCAGGGATACGAGTACGTACCACTACCACAGCGGGAGACCCACATCATGATCGATTTTTTGCCAGACATCAACAAACAATACTTCATGCTACTACAGCAACGACTCCAACAAGCTCTCGACAGTTGGAAGGCTCATTCCTCACACACCCACATCACAACACACTGGTCACAGAGAACAGCCTGCATACCTTACTACCGACAGGCCGACTACCGCCATGACAAACAGTCATTCGACGACAACGAAGAAACCCATTGCGACGTACGACGACGGCCGCTCATCCACCTCACCTGGGACGAACGCAGCAGCGACATCGACACCAACATGGTACGATTCAGATAGTCGTACTTCAATGAAGACGGCACCGACAAAAAACACGGAGACGCTGTACAACATCTACCACCAGCAACACGACAAGAGGTACGAGTTCCAGATGGACGAAGACTACGGCATAGTCGCCAAGTTCACCCACGACGACCAGACCACATTCATCAGTGCCATGCCCGACCCTCAACTCAACGCCACCTTAGGCTCAGAGCTGTTTGCATTAATCAACTACTTAGCGGATGCACTCCACGCGTCAGGAGCAGCAACATTGCACCCACCTTGGGCCACATGCGTAGTAGAAAAGCACAGAAGGCACATTACACCATCTTCCACATGCCTTCAACCAGAGTAAGTGGAGATACAAGGCCCATTGGACTGGAGTGCAAGCAACTAAGCCAGTGGACTGGTACGGCACGCGTAAAACCATACAATCACCATCGGCCAACTCCTCCATCGCACGACGAGCTGGCCGCACCGACGTCTGACAACCCCATGTGGCACCGCATGCTGTACCACCTATTCCACAAACCCACGGGGGTCCTATATCCCAGCGGGTACATTGCACACAGCGGGCGCAATGCCAACTCCAGACGTTCACAACCCACGCTTGAGATACCCAAACCTAGCGGACCACACTTCAACTTCCGACCGCCCAAGTACATCAGAACGCGAGACGTACATCAGAACGCGAGACGGAATCAGGATTACATCTGGCATTCCAGCCGACCACCCACACCACAATCTTGTACAAGGCCAACCCGCAGATATTCGCGACATTGAGAGAAGACACTACGAGCACGAGGACACATTAAGACTCACCTGCACAGGGCGCACACTAGTGACGCCACCGCGGCAGCGCATACCTAACCTGACATTCAAGCCCACAAAGCAAAACAAGGCAGCGCAAGACCCGACGCCAGCTACGAGTACACGCCACCTCCACCAGCACAGGACCAACCCCACCTACACAGCCAGCACCACAGCAACAGCTCCACCCCACGCCTCCCCGCCATCCTTGGGCAAACATACCCGGTTGAATCGACGAAACTACAAATTCCGAAGTCAGCGTCGACAACGACGACCCATGGGCCAATATTAACGGAGCGGCACACTCTCATGAGTTCCAACCCGCCCCACTGCCATCGAACAAATACCACGACATGCGCTGCCCGAGTGGATGGACAGCTTTTTACCGCCACGCTAGCGACGCAAACACTCACGGCCACGACGACGACCGATGGCACCACGAGCTGTGCTACCACGAACGCTCCAACACCTTACGCGTACATATTTCCCACTGACCATCTATTGCTACCTGGGCGGAGCAGGTGCCTGGAAAGCTCAATAATGAGCTCTTCGTACACCAGGACGTGAACCAACACCTACCGTACCCCCCACTACGACCCGACTCAAGAGCAACACAGCTCTCGATTTTCCAACCACCACCCATAAACGAAACCAAGCACCTCTAACTACAGGGCGCCATGCACGCCGACACTTTCCTACCAAACGACTGACCTTACTCCGACACGGCAATTACATGGACGCATTCGCGGGCTACTACCGCACCGACGCGGCATTCCGCCTAGCAGTAATTACCACCAGCCAGCACTTCCACAATCTTTAATGAAACGTGGACAAGCACCACTGAACCACAATCAGATCGCAGCGGTACAAGAGGTATCACAATGGCTCAATACATGCTACGACGCCGACGACAAAATGAAGACCGACTGGGCGGTCAATATTTATGATGCGGCTGCACTCCAAGAAAATGCAGAGCGACGACGGCTACCAGTATTACGAGGCCCACGCAACCCACAGGCAACTACAGCACGCGCGAAGAGGACACGCTGACAATCGCCAACTTGACGGACGACAGACCAGCCGCACCACCCGCTCCACCTCCAACCGCGCACACCCCACCTGCCAAACAAAACACCACCAATACTATTATCCCAATCAACCAAAGAAGACCCGCCAACAGCCACCAATGCGACTGTCGAAAGACCAGCAGAAACTCCTGCGCCACCTCCGACCAAGCATACACCACCCGCCAAACAAAAACACCACCATCACCATCCACCTACTTCATCAAAAAATCACCACACCTACCAAAGACCACCCACACCATCCTTGACGGCTGAACCGCAGACCACCCAACCATCCTTGAGCGTCTCACGCTCGTGCATCTACCCCGAAATATGCCCACCACTGGGCGTGGTGGCGATTGCGGACGTAGTTTCATGGGCATGTTTCCATCCCCGAGTCCGTGCCAGAGCCGGGAGGTAACATGGCCGAGCAGGACGTTAGACTTTGGTGGCTCGCCGAGGGGGGCAGTGAGAGAGGGCCGCCCCTGAACCCTAAACAAGAATCACCCTGCTTGCCTTCACGGTGCCCTGGATTTCTTGGGTTTCGATGGTTTTGCTATGGAGAGCGTGACGCTCCCACACCAAAAACCAATGGACGTCCTGGGGTCTCAGGGTTGGGCTTCTTGTGGAAGGTTTCTTGTGGACTAGCCTCCACTGTATGGACGTGGTGGCGACTGCGGACATCATTTCATGGTCATGTTTGTGTCCGCGAGTCTGTGCCGGATCCGGGGCCTGCCCCTTCTCGTTCCCCCCCTCGGCGCGCCGCCGAAGTCGGGTGTCATGCTCGACCGTGTTACCTGCCAGCGCCGGCACAAGCTCTGGGAGAGAAGCACGACTACGAAATTTCGTCCGCAATCAGTCGCCGTTCTTTTACATATTGTTTCGCCGATCGGCGGGCCCCCCCACCCCGACACCCTCCCCCCCCCACAGTCCAGATCTCGGCTGCTTTTGGCGGCTGCTTTTGGCGACTGGTCAGGACCACCCCCCCAGTCTGCTTAGTCTGCTTGCGCGACTGGCAGGAGCAGATCGACTGCTAAGCACCGGCCCATACCCAGACCCCCCCCCCAACACCCCGGCCGGATGTCGAAACCCATCATAAGAACACGCTTACAGTCGCCACCACGCACAGTGTGGTGGCGTGAGAATATCGAGAAGCCATGTGCACCACGTTTCGAGCGAAGGCCCGCACACCTTGGTGTACCTGCCAAGTGGTCCTCCGACCTGATTTTTCAGTCCGTGGCCTCAGAGCGAGCTGCCGACCCCTTCCCTGGGGGTGGTTTCTCGTTCCAGATTCGTTTTCGATGTCCCCGAGACCCGACGAGAGCCCTCGGAGGCCGAACTTGACCCAGACCCCCGATGTCATGATTTGTCACCACGTCGACCCCCAGAGCTCTGGACCCATTCCCAGGGACCAGTTTTCCTCGACTCGTTTTTTGACGGTCCCGGGGCCTGAGAAGGGTCCGCGGAGGCCGAAAATAGCGACTAACCTCCCGTTGCGTTTTTCCAAGACTCGAGGGTGTCTCTGGGGAGGGAGACGTCAGCACTGAGCAAATCATTTCGTCGGAGATCTTGCCACCACGTGCGGGGTGCCGCAGACCGATCACGCCCTGCTCGCGCAGAGCGAGGAGGGGTGACGGCGCGGCCCGGCTAGAGCCCCATTGCTGGGGACCGGAAGCGCACTGCGGAGGGAAGCGAGAAGCAGGAGGAAGAGGAGGAGGAGGAGGAGGAGGAGGAGGAGGAGGAGGAGGAGGAAGAGGAGAGGAGGAGGAGAGAGGAGGGGGCGGGGGAGAAGAGAGGAGGAGGGACGAGGAGGAGAGGAGTAGAGGAGGTGGGGGAGGAGGAGGAGGAGGAGGAGGAGGAGATGAGGAGGGAGAGAGGAGGAGGAGGAGGTTGGAGGAGGAGGAGGAGGAGGTTGGAGGAGGAGTAGGAGGAGGAGGGGGGAAAGCGGAGGAGGATGAGGAGGAGGAGGAGGAGGGGGAAACGGGGAGGAGGAGGAAGACACGTCAGGTTCCAGAGCTCCCAGCATAGAGGATTTGAAATATTTGTTGGCATTTCCGGCAGCCGCAGGCTTGTTTCGAGCCCTGGGTTCGTCCAGAAGCGACTCGGGACTCAAGGCCGGTCCCAGGGAAAGGGGTGAGAGGTCGCGGGACCCCAGGGTCGATATTTGTTCGCAGCCGGACGTGGAGGACATCCCCATTGTGTCCTCTTCTCTCTTCCCTTCTTCTCCCCCTTTTCCACGGCCCCCTATCCTCTCTTATTCCACCTTCACCAGCCCGTAGCGTTTATGTTTGTCGAGTTTGTGGCCCCTGTGCTCATATTTCCACGCGTGGGCTAGCGAAGTCGTGCCCATATCAGCTCGAGACGCACAGACGGCCGTACCTGCCTTGTCTGGATCTAGGGCTAGGGCCAAAGCCACGCAGCCAAGCTGAATTGCGGCCTCCGGGTCTGTAGTTTATCGAGTCACCACGTGTGATGACTCGCCTGTTCCTGTTCTTGTTCCTGTTCCACCTGCTCCCTCTTCTCCATCCCTGACATCCGACGTTGAACACATTGCGACGTCTCAACATATCACAACCAGAGCCCCGGACCCCATCTCTCTGCGTCATTTGTTGAGCCTGATCAATCTGCGAGGGTCCTGGGGCCCGAAGCCGAGCGAAAACGCCCTCTGTGAGCAACTTGCAACGCCAAGATCTGAGGGATCATTGTCCTCCTCCTCCTCCTCCTCCTCCTCCTCCTCCTCCTCCTCCTCCTCCTCCTCCTCCTCTCTCTTCCTCTCTCCTCCTCCTCCTCCTCCTCCTCCTCCTCCTCCTCCTCCTCCTCCTCCTCCTTCTCTCCTCCCTCCTCCTCCTCCTCCTTCCTTCCTCTCCTCCTCCTCCTCCTCCTCCCTCCTCCTCCTCCTCCTCCTCCTCCTCCTCCTCTTCCCCCCTTCTGCGATGCGGGAAAAGCGTGGCTGGGCCGCGCGCGCGCAGTTCCTCCGTCGCCAGCCAGACGCGGACAGAGGCGGCTTCATGTGCCCCTCGGGAGTGGGCGGCGAGCGGTTGGCGGAGCGGCGGAGGGAGGGGGGGGGGAGGAGGAGGATGGCTGGAAGGAGGACGGGAGGGGGGAGGGAAGGAGGGGGAGGAAGAGGAAAAGGAAGGATGAGGATGAGGATGAGGAGGAGGAGGAGGAGGAGGAGGAGGGCGGACTACACTCAGAGTTTGAGGAGGGCGGACTACACTCAGAATTTGATTCATAATTCGAACCTACACTCGGAGGCGGAATGCCACGGGGCCAGTCCTCCAAGAGGCCTGTGTCCGGTAGGTGGCGGTTCTCCTTGGCGAGGGACCCAGGACCATAACCCGAACGCCCAGGGGTCCCCCTTGATGACGGGGCTGGGGACCCACTCGGGTGCAAGAAGCCGTTTCCCCTCCCCCTGCCCCCGTGAGGTGTGCTCATGCTTTCGCGTCCCCTCCTCCCTCACTCTGAAGAGCGAGTCGTCGCGTCTGCGGCCAACAGACAAGGGCAACAGGGTCGGGGACCCACGGGAGGCCCCTAAGTGCGTCAGAGAAGGATAGAAGTTGGGTGGGGATGGCCAGACAAAAGAGACAAGAGAAAAAGAGACAAGGAAGAGTGCCCAGCCCCCATCGGGCGCAGCCATTGGCCGTCCCACGGGCGAGCTGCGGAGGGCGCTGAGTTGTTAGCAGACCGCTGTGTCACACACGGTTATTTACAGCTCCCCCGAGCCTGCCCAGGAGAGCCCGCGCTGGAGCAGCGGTGGCGGGAATGCGGTCGAAAGAATGAGGGGAGGGGAAAAGACTGATTACCCTCCGTGCTTCAAGGTGCACGTTTCATTCTGGAACGGCATTTTCCTGCTCCCCCTCTCCCCGTGGGTGGCCCCACCCAGGTTGCGGGGGTGGGTTTCGGGACTCCTCCCCCCTCTCCGCCTCTTGCTAGTGCTGATTCGGAGGTGAGGGGGTGAGATCGAAGTGGAACGGAGAGCCCCCCTACCGGGAAATCGGTTTCGGTTTCGTGTTCGTGCGTGTCGTGCGTGCGGGCGAGGCGAAGCTGCGTGGGTGGGCGAGAAGAAAGTCTCCTCCGGCTGAGGCGCGGCCGGACCAAATGTTTCCTCTCCGGGGGCCGGTGGCCCGCCCGCGGTGTCCCGCCGGTGGCCCGCCTCCGGCTGAGGCGCGGCTGGACCGAATGTTTCCTTTCCGGGGGCTGGTGGCCCGCGGTGTCCCGCCGGTGTCCCGCCTCCAGCTGAGGCGCGGCCGGACCAAATGATTCCGGACCAGCGTCGGGTGGCCCGCGGTGTCCCGCCGGTGTCCCGTCGGTCTCCCGATGATGATGATGATGATGATGATGATGATGATGATGATGATGATGATGATGATGATGATGATGAGGATGAGGATGAGGATGAGGATGAGGATGAGGATGAGGATGAGGATGAGGATGAGGATGAGGATGAGGATGTGATGATGTGTATGATGATGATGATGATGATGATGATGATGATGATGATGATGATGATGATGTCGATGATGATGGTGATGGTGGTGATGATGATGGTGTCCCGATGATGATGATGCTGATGATGATGATGCTGATGATGATGATGATGATGATGATGTCGATGATGATGATGGTGATGATGATGGTGATGGTGGTGATGATGATGGTGTCCCGATGATGATGATGTTGATGATGTCGATGATGTTGCTGATGATGATGGTGTCCCGATGATGGTGATGATGTTGATTATCATGATGATGTTGGTGATGACGAGATGATGAGATGTTGAAGATGAAGATGAAGATGATGATCATGATGATGATGGTGTTCCGATGATGATGGTGAGGTTGATGATGCTGTTGATGATGATGGTGATGATGATGGTGTCCCAATGGTGATGATGATGTTGACGATGATGACGATGACGATGATGGTGCCCCGATGATGATAATGAGGATGATGCTGAGGTGATGATGATGATTTTGATGATGTTGGCCCGATGATTGTGATGATGATGCTGATGTTGATGATGCTGTTGGTGCCCGGTGATGATGATGATGATGGTGTTGATGATGATGGTTTCGATGATGATGGTGTCCCGATGGTGGTGATGATGTTGACGATGACGATGTTGCTGATGATGATGACGATGGTGTCCCGATGATGATGAGGATGTTGTTCATGATGATGATGATGATGAGATGATGATGATGATGATGGTGGCGTCCCGATGATGATGACGATGGTGCCCCGATGATGATGGCGTTGATGATGATGGTCGTGATGATGATGGTGTCCCGATGATGAGGATGATGGTGCTGATGATGATGTTGATGATGATGGTGATGAGGTGATGGTGATGATGGTGTCCCGATGATAATGATGATGATGCTGATGATGATGATGATGATTATGATGATGTTGATGACGTTGACGACGATGATGTTGATGGTGATGATGACGTTGATTGTGAGATCGATTGTGGTATCGATAGTGAGATCGATAGTGGGTCGAAAACGAGACCGATTGTGAGATCGATTGTGAGATCGGTAGTGAGATCGTTTTTGAAATCGGTAGTCAGATCGATTGTGAGATCGATCGGATGAAATAGGTCGAGAGAGATCGATTGTGAGATCGATCGAGTGAGATCGATCGAGCGAGACCGATCGTGAGATCGATAGTGTGATCGATAGTGAGACCGATCGAGCGAGACGTTGGTTCCTCCCCCCCCCGAACCTCCTTATCACCCGAAGGGTGGTCGTATAGGTACCGAGGAGTTGTCGATTATTGGTGGTTATGTTTGGATATTGGTGGGCTATTTCTTATGTTTCTTCAAAACCCCCCTGTAGGAGGACATGCCCGACCTAATGCTAGCGCTGAGGATCGAGGGGAGGAGCACCGCTCTCCACCGCAGACCTCTGCGGCCCGAGGGGGGGGGGGGAAAGAAGGGGTGGGAGGAGGAAGGGGACGGGGCGGAGGACAGGGGCCAGAAGGTCGGATCAGTCGGTATCGTTTAACCAATCCCCATCCCCATCCCCATCCCCTTCGAGACCCCCACCAAACTACCACCCCAGTTGGGGATACACCCCTCGAAACCCGAAGGGGACGGCCTGTATCCCCATCTAGAGGGGTAAATCGGCCAGTGGAGCCCAGGCCACGCCGCTGGGGATGGGGATCGGTAAAACGATACTCACGATCAGGGAGCCAGGGGGAGAGGGGAGGATGTGGGGGGGGACAAACCAGGTGCGCTCGCGCCATATCTGACATTCTACCCCTCCCACCTGCCCCTTGCCCTTGTGCAGTTTTTCTCTATCCGCGGCCGCGTGTCACAGCGGACCTCAAACTCCCAAGAGAACACCGTCCTATGTGCTGTCGGAAACGGGGGGCTGTCTACAGAGGAGGAGGAGGAGGAGCAGGAGGAGGAGGAGGAGGAGGACGAGCAGGAGGATGAGCAGGAGGAACATGAGGAGGACGAAGGAGGAGATGGATGACGACGAGGACGAACCGCAGTAGCGAGAATTGGAGCGGAAGGACTGGGCGGAGCAGGAAGACCAGGGGAAGGCGGAGGGGAGAAGAGGGCGGGGGGGGCGATAACGATGAGGAAGGACTCCGATTCAGAAACGTGGTTCGCGCGCGCTGGGGCGAGAGCGCAATTCTGAACGACGGGAGCAAAGTGTCGATCCTAGAACGAGGCCAGCGCTGCAGCGGCAGCACCATGCCGAGACACCGACAGCTTTCCGATGTGACATAACGAGGGAAAACAGGTTTTGGAATTCGGCGTGTGACATACATGTGGAGAGCACCAAGCACCTTCCAGACATTTCAGGAGAAATAGGAGAGTGGTATGTGTTTTCATTGTCGGAATGGGATGGGGACTTGGCGGGAAAGTCCTGGGGAGGTGGGGAGTGAGAGGAGGGGGGCGAGAGGAGAGAGATGGGGCAGTCATAACTATTCCAACGACCAGTCAAATAATCAAAGTTCCCGCCCATGATAAACAATTTCCGCTAGCATAGCTCGACCCCTCTGGCCAAATCTTCCGCCAAGACGTGTTCGCCTCCAGGTTGACATTGCCACCGACGTTTACCTTCCCACTGAATCCATCACTCGTCAACCCCGGCAGCCCCCCGGCCAAGGATTGCCAAATTGCAGATCTCACAATGAAAGCCGTCTCCAGCATCTCACCCTGGATAAAGATTGCCGCGCAATATCCGTGGCGAACCAGATGCCTACCAGCAAAGTTGTCAGACAGCGTCAGCCGCCTTTAGTCTTGTAGCGAGTGCATTAATGTCGCGAGGAAGAAGTTCTGGGTTGCACCAGGGAATGACCAGAGATATGTCCTTGCTCTCACCACGTATGACCTCTCGGCGGGCATCCTTGGGAGGCTCCACGACCATCTCGAGCCAGCTTGGATATTTCTTGCGGTCTCTTGGGGCAGCGGCTGACCTACAGTCAAGCATCTGATTAAGGGACCTCCTCCCTCAAAGCTGGGCCAGCGTTTCTTCGCCAACTTGCCGGAAAGCTGGCCCAGTTGTTTGAGCGCGTTCGCCTTCAGCGTTAACAACCGTAGTTGGCCTACGTTGGTTTTAAGAGACTTCTGGGATGTTGGCGCCGATCTTTTAAATCATAGTTGTTTTGACCACACGTTCGGCTGAAACCACATTGGAGCCATGCTTGACAATTGCTCCATCAGATGCTTGATCTGATCATCCGCTCGCGCCTCCAGCCGGCGAGACCTCGGTTACGAGTGCACGAAGCAGGGGAATGGATCGAGACACAGCTGAGAGCTGTGCCAGCTGTTGCTCGATCCCTCTTCACGCCCTGCCCGATACAGTGACGCACAGCCCAGAGGAACGACGCTTACTATGTGCGGGAGTGGACTGCATGTCGAAACTCCAGGATGGTAGAAGTCGATCAAAGGAGAGGAAGCATGCTGCCAAGTAATTCCCAGATGTCGAAAGTTCCAAGCATGAGCTACACATGTAAAATATCAGTTTCAACCATAGTTAGAACATGTTTAAGCATTTTCAACACATCTTTCATTCAATGATAGGATTGTTAGAGTGTCCACCCACCCCTCGAAATTGTTAGTGGAAGTGTCCACTCTAAGCTGCAGGTTGTGACCGTACATCTGTGCTGGACAGCACTGCTCATTCTATAGGTCCGTTCGCTCTTGCCGCATTCGGCGGCGAGCGAGGTGGGGAAGTGAGTAGGGGCGGGCCTTCTCAGAAGGCTCGGAAGTTCTCCGGCCTTCTAAGAAATGTCCTAAGCTTCCCCGAAGACACAGAGGACTTCTCAGAAGGCGCGAGGGCTTCTGAGAAGTCCCGCCGCCTTCTGAGAAGGCCTTCTCCTCATTTCCCCCTCTCGCTCGCCGCCAACGTATCCAGTGGACGTACCGTGCTCTTTGTGTTCCTCTGTCCAGCGCATCCCCGCCACTGCTCGGCGAAGATGTTTTTGACGGCGCTCCCGTTTTCTTTCCTCACCTCTGTCGCCCCGTTCTCTGTTGCGGCTCATGCAGTTCACCCTGAGTGCATGATCAGCCTCAATACCAGCGTCCGCATTGCAGGCGCCGCGCGCTATCGCAGTACTGGGCGCCGTCGTTCTGCGTCTGCTGTGCCTGATGCGCCGCCTCCGTCTGGTGAAGGTACACGTCTATACAGCTGAACTACAACTACAACGCCAAGATGCATGTCGACAAGAACAACCATGGGCCCTCGTACATCATCGGCCTCGGCTCCTACACCAAGGGTGGTCTGTGGATCTACGACCCGGAGCCGCCTTGCCACCCCTTTGTTTCGTTGCCAGATTCGATGCCTCGCCGCGTAGGTACAGCTTGGAACCATGCGCGCGCACAGGTTCGCACATTATTTTGAAGTTATCTAGAAGCCTCACCTCCCGCTTCTTCTCTTCCACCCTCCTCCACCTCCCTCCTTCTCTTCCTCCTCGAGGAAAGAAGAGGCGGGACGAGGAGGAGGGTCATGATGATGATGATGATGATGATGATGATGATGATGATGATGATGAGGAGGAGGAGGAGGAGGAGGAGGAGGAGGAGGAGGAGGAGGAGGAGGGGGAGGATGGACAAAGGAGGAGGATGATGAGGAGGAAGAGGAAGAGGAGGAGGAGGAAGAGGAGAAGAGAGGTGGTGAGGTTGGATGGTGAGGGATGAGGAGGATGCGAGGAGAAGGAGAGGATGAGGACTAAGGGAAGAAGGAGGAAGAGGAGGAGGAAGGCGGAGGAGGAGAGAAAGGAGGGAGGCGGGAGGAGAGGAGGTTGAGCAGGGAGGCGTTGAAGATGGAGAGGATTGGACGAGGAGCATGAGGATGAGAATAATCGGAAGAAGTCGAATGGGAGGAGGAGGTGGAGATGAAGGAGATGAAGGAGGAGGAGGAGGAGGAGGAGGGGAGCAGGAAGAGGAACAGAACAGAGCAGAAGGACACAGGAGGAGGGGAGGAGGAGGAGGAGGAGGAGGAGGAGGAGGAGGAGGAGCAGCAGCAGCAGCAGCAGCAGCAGCAGCGGGACGGAGAAGAAGACGGACGGAGGAGGGCGAGCGAGAGAGAGAGAGAGAGAGAAGGAGGCATCCGTCGCCGCCGATCCTCGCCCGCGCGCTCCCGGCGCCCGCCTCTGCGACGGCACTGCCCCACAGAACGGGACCGACTTCCAGAAGGTTACCGTCAGCAAGCTGCCCGGCTATCCGCATCTGAGAGAGGGTGACCGCCCGCGGGCGTGATGAGGGCGAAGGGGGGCGAAGGAACGACGGGTGATGTAGAACGAGGAAGAAGAGGTGGTGGAAGGGCCTCCTGGAAGGGGGAGGCGGAGGAGGCTGCAGAGGAGCTGGAAGGAAGAGGAGGAGGAGGAGGACGAGGAGGAGGAGGAGGAAGAGGGGGAGGAGGACAAGCTAGGTGCACTCGCGTCATCTCTGACGTCCTACCCCCCCTCCCATCCCTTACCATTGCGTATATATCCTCTATATTCGCACAGTCGGATGTCGAGCAGGGCAATGATCGCGAGAGGGTGCGCGATGCATGCCAGAGCAAAGCATGGCATGGCGTAGAAGAGCACGGCAGAGCGTAGCATGCCATAGCATGGCGTGGCATTGCGCTGTGAAGCGTTGTATCGCAAAGCATTGCAACGCAAAGCATGACATCGCACAGCGGCGCAGAGCGCAACACTGCACAGCATGTCATGGCATGGCGCCAGGTTCCTCGGAGGGTACGTGGATCGTCTTCGAGAGAGGTCCGGGCCGGTCTGGAGTCGTGGCTCCACATCTAGCTCCCTGGGGTCTCCGCAAAGCTCCGCAAGGCGGGGCTGATGGAGATCACCCGCTGGTTCTGTTTCCAACATCGCCTTCTCCAAGCCGAAACGGGGTTCCTGCTTGATACTTCCTGAGAGCGACGACGCGTGGGGCTTCTGCGGCCCCAGAAATCAACGAATCGACACTGAATGCGGAATCACTTCCGATCTTTTTTTCGGGGAGGCATTTTTTTTAATTTTTGGAACCTATCTGGAATGACCGACAAAGCCCGCGCTGCAGCGGGAGCACGATTTGGAACAACCAGAGGAGCAGGAATTGGGCCAGCGCTTCTGCGGGAGCAACATGTTGAAGAACAAACTAAGCGAGAACCCATTTCCTGGGAACCCTGTACGCAAGCAACAGTAAGCGAAAGGGGGGCCGGATATCTTCCGGACGTCGTCAGGGGAGAGAGGAGAGTAGTGTTCATATTGTGCAATTGTGAAGGAGGAGGGGGAGGAGGAGGGGGAGGAGGAGGAGAAGAGGAGGGAGCAGGAGCGAGGGCTTTGCTGTTTTGGGCCTCCGGGGGCCTCTCCTGGCGTAACACCCAGGCCTCAGGATGGAAAGCCGGTCCCAGGGAAATTCGGGGCTCGAGAGGCGGGGGTCGATGCCTTGGTTTTCGGCGCGTAGTTGGTTTTCGGCGACCCTTTTGGTTTTCGGCGCTCCTTCGGTTTTCGCGGCCTCTTCGGTTTTCGGCGCCCCGTTGGTTTTCGGTGCCTTTTTGGTTTTCAGCGCCCCTTTGGTTTTCGGCGTTCCTTGAGTTTTCGGCTCTCCTTTGGTTCTCGGCGTACTTTTGGTTGTCGGCGCCCCTCAGGTTTTCGGCGCCCCTTTTTGTGTTCTGCGCCCTTTAAGTTTCGGCGTCATTGTGGTTTTCGTTTTTTTTTTTTTTTGTTTTCGGTGTCCTTTTGGTTTTCGGCGCCCTTGTGGTTTTCGGCGCTCCTTTGGTTTTCGGTGCCCCTGTCGTTTGCGGCGCCCCTGTTTGTTTTTGGCGCCCTTTTGGTGTTCGGCGCCCCTTTGGTTTTCGGCGTCCTTGTGGTTTTCGGCGCTCCTTTGGTTTTCGGCGCCCCCTTGGTTGTCGGCGCTCTCAGGTTTTCGGCGCCCTTTTGGTTTTCGGCGCCCCCTTTGTGTTCGGCGCTCTTTTGGAGTTCGGCGCGTCGTTGGAGTTGAGCGTACTGTTGGTTTTTGGCGCCCTTGTGGTTTTCGGCGCACCTGTGCTTGTCGGCGTCCCTGTGGTTTTCGGCGCCCTGTTGGTTTTCGTCACACCTGTGGTTCTCGGCGCCCTTTGGTTTCCGGCGCTCCTTTGGATTTCGGCGGCCCTTCCTTTAGGCAAAGGAGAAAGAGGGGCTTCCAAGCCTCCTCCCCGCTCCGCAAGGCAGGGGGGGAGGGGGCTTTTGGCAGGAAGGGGGTCCCAACGGAGAGGGGGGGGCAGCCAAGCTAGGCACGCTCGCGTCATATCTGACGTCCTACCCCTCCCTCCCATCCCTTACCATGGCCTATAGTAGGTCCCCTTTCGGTTCGCACAGTCGGATGTCGAGCAGGGCGATGATCCCGAGAGAGTGCGCGATGCATCGCAGATCACGGCGCAGCTGGGCGCAGAAGAGCACGGCAGGGCGCATTATGTCATTGCAAGGCGTGGCGTAGCGTAGTGAAGAATTGCACCACAAAGCGTTGCAACGCAAATAATGGCATCGCACAGCGGCACAGAACAGAACATGGCATAGCATGGCGTTGAAGATCAATGCGTAGCATGGCATAGCATGGCGTGGCACTGTGTAGCGAAGCGCTGTAGATCCTAGCATTGGAGCTGAAGGCATGGCATCGCACAGCGGAACACCACTTAGCATTGCATTACATACCGTGGCATGGCACTGGAAATAATGACGCCAGCGCTGCGGCGGGAGCGCGATTCGGAACGAGCGGAAGCGCGGAACTGAGGCCAGCGCTGCAGCGGGAGCAAGATTCGGAACGAGCGGAAGCGCAGAAAGGAGGCCAGCGCTGCAGCGGGAAGCGGGCACGCTATTCGGAACGAGCGGAAGCCCGAGAATGAGGCTAGCGCTTCAACAGGAGCAACATTGCGACAAAAATTGAGCGAAAACCGAACTCCCGGGAATCTTGTGTGTAAAACACAGCGCGGAGTGGGGCCGAACATCTTCCGGACGTCATCAGGGGAGAGAGGAGAGTAGTATTCATATTGTGTACTTGTTAAGCCGTTCTTCCTTTCGGGCATGAAGGGGGGACGGGGAGGACGTAGCTTTTGGAACGCGAAAGGGGCGAAGGTGGGTTACTTCCGCAGGGCGGAAAAATATGGGGGGTACGGGGGGGGGCTTCTGGCAGGGGGCTATCCAAACGGGGAGGGAGTAGCTAAGCCCCCCCTGTTGGAAAGGAGGGGAGGGGGGTAGCTTCCGCAGCGCCAAACGGGGGGCGGAGGTGAGCTTCCGAGGGGCGGAAAAAGGGGGAGGGGTGGGGGCTTCGGGCAGGGGAGGTCCAAAGGGAGGGGGTAGCAAAGGGGGGACCCTCCCCTTTGCTCCAGCGCTGCGTGCGCGCTCTCTCCAAGCAGCGGTATCGGTATCTTCTCCTCTTGGGATTCCCCAGCCCTCCGTTTTCCCACTTTCCCCCATCCCTGTCCTGCCTGAGACCTGCAATCCGCGACGCGCCGGTCCGAGGCGACATGGCGCCAGGCTTCGTGGTCGACATCAAGGAGCCCTCGGGTGCGCCTCGGCCCGACCTGGGCCCCTCTCTCTTGGAGGCCTAGACTTATCAGCACCAATGTCGGCGGCGTGCCTCGACCGAGGGAAGATGGTCCCGATTTCGGCGATGGCGGTAATATGCGGGCTTTCTGGGTGGCCGAAGTACCACCACCAGCACAAACATCTAGGGTCATCTTTCCCCGGCGGAGGCAAACACCCTGCCTTGGTGTTGGTGCTCGTTTCCAGGTCTCCAGTCTCTCCCAATTTTTTACCTTTTGCAGCCAGCGCCGCGCAGGCCCGGGCGGCCGTCGCCTCTGGTAGCCTGGCCCGGCTGTCGAGGGCCCGTCCTTCAAGCAGGGGCGAGGCGTCTTGTCTTGCCTATATGCCCACCAACGAATGTTCTAAGAACCTTTTGTGGTTTGAGCGAACGTTTTGTGGTTTGAGCGAACCTTTTGTGGTTTGAGCGAAGTGTTCTCGAGAGCATGTGTGGCTGATCTCGTTTTGTGTAGCGCATCGGCTTTATGCTCTACGAACATTGTGTTCCCCGAACAGTCTGTTGTTCTAAGAACATGTAGTGTAAGGCCTACATGAATGCCAGGACGGGTGGTCCCTTTTCAAGTCCTCTGTCGCCGAAGGCCACGCAGGATCCTGCGGTCAGCCCTGATGCTCAGGTCTCCAAAGGCAGGACCGGAACAGGAGAGGTCGGAGGCGTCGCATCGTCGATGCATCGGCGGTGTGGCGCGATCTGGAGCCCGCTCTTCTCCATCTCGCCGCCGCCGATGCTCTTCTCTTGATGGGCCTGTTTCCCACCACCGCCACCATAAGTTGGGGGGGGGAGGGGGTCCTCCTCCCCCGCTTCTTCCTCCTCCTCCTCACCCTCCACCTCCTTCCCCCCTCCAGCTTCTGGTGGTGGTGGTGGAAAGCATGCCCATCATCTCTGCCTCCATGTGCGATGCGGCGCGCTCGTCCGACCCCACCTGCTCCGGCCCCGCTTGGGAGGCCTCCAGATGACCAGGCCGACATGATTCGGTTCTCCAGTACTCACCGCGGATCCAAACGGGACCTCGCCGTCCCTGGGGGGCTGCGACCTGTGAAACTGTCGCCACTTTCGAGGGCTGCGGGGGAGGCCAGCAGAAAGGGTACCTGAACCGCTCTATTGTCCAGCTTTGTCGGCAAAGTGGCGTGAGGCAGCCGTTGGTGCGCGAGTGGATGTCATCAACATGGGGCTCGTGTAGCCACTCTGCTGCACATGCATGGGAAGTGGTCTGGGGCTTTGTTTTGGCAGCCTATGGTTGGGCTCAAGTCTTTGATACCTCGCTCAGTTGCTAGCGCTTGCTAGTGGCTCGCGACGAGGTCACATGAATGTGTCATCAGTACTGCATGCAGCAAATGGGTGCCGATGTTGATTATCATTTGTATTCAAATGCGCTCGGAAACATGTCTGGTCAACCCTGTGCTCCAGAGCCTCACGCCAGGCCTTCATTCGACATTCGGAACCTGTGTTGTCCCAGCACAGCGATGTGGCCTCCCCAGAGGGAAGCTGGCATCGGCCGTGGGTTCTCTGGATACGGCAGTTTCGATTTGCGTCTTTTCGGCGGCGTCCCCGAGTGTGGGTTTTCACGCCGGCAGGACAGGTGGCTGAGGTTCGACGGCACGATTCCCCACATGGCCCTCGATTTCGAGGGCACCCGCATTTCCATCGTGTACTTCAGCAGGAAAGGCAGCCTGCAGGCCTGTTTCCGCCGCTCCGGGCGGAGGGCGCGAATGGGGGGGAGGCGGAGACAACTTTTCACAGTGGGCGGCTGGGCCAAGATCTTGGCGTCCAGCCCAGCATGACTTCGAAGGCGGACAACCTGTGCCCCCGTGTACCAACACGTAAATGTATCCTCCGTAGCTGCCCAATTTCTATTGCCATTTGGGCTCAGGTGCTCGGCCGATTTTGAACAACGGTTGGGCGCAGATGCTGGCCCGTGGGCCGTGCGCACTCTACGCCGCGCAGCGGAAGGTCAGCAACATGTTGCATGGTTGTGGCCTCCTCGGCTCACTCCTGGTGCTGCAGGCCAGCGAACTCGAACTCGAGGATACGTTCGGACATGTGGCGGCGGCCGCGGACCTCAGCGTTGAGGAAGCACGGGCTCCATTGAGGGAGTTCATCGACCGGGCGTTGGCCGATGTACCGCTACAGTTGCGGCCGCGGGACGCCCCGAACAGGCCATGCTTGAGGACGCCCTAGCGGCGAGCATTGTGGCAGCGTGCGAGCTGGAGTGGCGCGAGGCGTTTCCGCCGCCGAGGAGAGCCGCGGCGAACTGGAGGCCCGAGAGTGGGCACATCGGAGGCAGCCCTTGCCCCAGCTGCTCGAGGTGGCGCGGTCGTGCATGGACTCGGGGCGGGTGGTGGATGGCATCACAGGCCGCGCGCGCCTCAACACAATGAGGTCGCACGTGCCTGCGAGCGAGAGGCTGCGCCGATGGATCCTGCGCGCGCGCAGCATCCCGAGGCCGAATATGTTCGCGCACTTCACCGACCACGTGCACGCCAGGGCTGCCGAGCGCCGTGGGCCGACGGTGCAACCAGGCCCTCCACGCCCTGGCCTGGACCCAAGCCGGCCCGATTCGCCAATGCGTTCATCGGGACCCTGGAGCAGCTAGTCACGGGGACTCGCCGAGGCGCGACGACGCTGGCAGGGAGGTGGTCCGCGCGGCCGCTAGATGCGCCGACGCGGCGGCGGCGGGCCACGCGGTGCTCCGGAGCATGCTTGCGCCGGCTTTGGCGGGCGAGATCGCGGTGGCCCACCTCCCCGATGACGTCGCGGGCTGGGCGGGGCCTCGGAGCGCTCGGGGCGAGCGATGCCCCCGTCGGCAGCGGGGGCGACGGGGGTCCCGAGAGCGCGACCTCCCTGGCAGCCGTCGCCAGAGGGCGCGGGCACCTTCGCGAGGGCGCGCCGCGCCGTCGTCTCCAGGCTTTGGCAGCAGTTCGCATTGGTACTGCGCTCGGGCAAGGTCTTCGCGGATGTGGACGAGGCGTCGGCCATTCCAGTCTTGGCAAACTGGATCCCGTCGAGGAATAACTTCGCTGAGCGCAATAAGGCGACGGGCCCTGCGCCGCCGCCGCAGCGCCGGACGGGCGCCAGCGGCGCCCGTGAGCGACGGGGAGACGGGAGGGCCGTCGCCAGCGCCGTCGCTGGCGAGGACGATAGCGACGCCGGAGGCCGACGTCGATGCCGCCCCACCGAGAGAGATCGCTTCGCTCCTGCAGGACGAGCAGGCGGAGGCCGGCCGCGACAGCGTCGCGGAGGAGCTGGAGGCGGAGCTCAACCGCGACGTCGGCGACTGGGAGAACGGCCAATTCGGGGGCGGGGCGCGGCAGCCCTACTCGAGAACGCGGGCCTCGAGGATACCAGCAGATAGACATTGAAGCGCAAGGTGGCCCGGCTCCATGAGGTTGGCGGCTGCGGGCGGCTAGGTTTCTTGCAGGTCGCCGCTGGACACATGGTTAGTCCGAGGTCCCAGTGCGACATCGCGAGCCAGGCGACGGTAGCTGCCTCCGATCGGAGGCGAGTGGCTCGTCGAGCTCCGCGAGCTCTGGATGGCCCGACGAGGTTGGCCAGCGGGAGGCAGCGGCGGGGCCCCGCGCGACCCTCTGGGGCGGGGGCGTCGCCCGCGCGCCGGCCGCTGGCTGGGGGGCGGCGCCGAGGAGAGCGCCGGCGGCGGCGGGGCTCCGCGCGACCCTTCAGGGCGGGAGCCGCGACGCGCGCCCTGGCGCGAGAGCTGGCCGCCGAGCGGCCCGGGGCGCGACCGGCGCAGGCTCGGAGGCCGCGCCCAGCTGGAACCCTTCGCGAGTGGCGCTCCGTCTGCCCCCCCCCCCCAGGCCTGTTGGCCCATTTCTGGGGTCGCCCCCGCCCGCCGCTGAGCGCCCCCCCCGCGGCGAAGGCGCCCGCCCCGCCCGCCGGCCCTCCGCCGCTCCACCGCGGGCGGGGAGGGGGGCCCAAAACGGGGAGGGGTGGCCCTCGAGCCGGGGTGGGCCCCGCGGGGGGCGGGGGCCGCGCATCGCGCCCTCGCGCGACCTGGCCGGGCCGCAGCGCGATCTGGAACCGTCTTTGCTCGAGCCACGTCGGCGCTGCCCTCGCGCGGTCAGGGCCGCGACAGGCCTCGCATGCCCCGCGATAGGCTTCGCGGGCCTTCGCCCGTGGCGTCGCCAGCGCGACCCGCGATCGAACGGCGGTTCGCCAGCGTGGCGCCGCGGGCCCTCGCCGAGGGAGATGGCAGGCGCTTTCGCGGCGCCGAGCTCGGGCCCGGGCCCCCTCCTTGCGAAGGAGGGCGCGCCTCTGGACGCGCGTGGGCAGCAGCGCTTATCTGGCGCGGCAAACTTGGGCAAGTTCTCCGCGCTGAACTCAGGCCAGGACGTCGAGGACTTCGCCGGCGACCAGCTCGACGTCGACGCGTCGACCGGGCTAGATCCGCGCGCGCAGGGCGCAGCAGTGGCGCGCGCAAGCAGGCCGCGCGCGCGAGGGTTGAGCAGCGGCAGGAGATGGGCGGCGAACGAGGCGCCTGCCAGGTGGTCGAGCCGCCAAGCGTCGCCGACCACCCGGCGACGAGGCTGGCTTTCGAGAAGACGCGCTGGAGGCTCGAGGGGGCTCGGCACCGGCGAGATCCTACCTCTCGGACAGGCGAACGGGGATCCGGCGCGGCGACGCGCGGTGCCCGCGCGGGCCCACTCTGCCGAGGAAGACAAGGGCCCCGACCTCGCGACGCCAGTTCGGCCAAAGTCAGGGGCGACGCAATCCAGGATGGCGGCGACCGTCGAGGACGAAACCCCGGAGGGCCCGCGGGCGCTGCGGAAGCGCATCGGGCCGATGGGCACGGGAATCCTGTGGCTCGGCCATCGCCGCGCAGACCGGCGGGGCCTGCCTGGCTGCGACCCATTGCAGTTCAAGCCGCACGTGGACTACATGCTCGGGAGGCATGTCTGGAGCCTCGCGGCGCGGAACGGGCAGGGCGACGCGGTCGCGCGCCCGTCGCGCGCTCAGGTGCTGCAGCGCGAGCAACGCATCCGCGGGAAGACCTGGCAGCTGGCGCAACATGACCACTTGCGGCCCAACGCGGCGCTCCAGCGGGCGCTCGACGATCCAGCGGTCAAGGGGCGCTGCTCCGCAGCGCTGCTGGCCCTCGCCAGCCCGGCGGCGCCCCGGCGACCTCCGCAGCTGCCGCATCGGCCGCAGCCACCGCGACAGCTGGCGCCCTCCGATCACCCGCCGAAGCCGGTGCGCGAAGACGGCGCGGGCAAGGGGTGCAGGCGCGGCGCGGGCCAGGGCGCGGGCCCTCCTGCGCAGACGCCGGGCGGCAAGTAGACCTGCCCCAGGTGCAGTTTCAAGGTAGCCAAGTGCAACCCAAAGAACTGCTGCTTCCTCCGCGCGCGCTCGCTCTGCGTTGCGCATGGCCACCCACGATGCGAGTGTACGGGGCCGCCCGCGTGGCCGACGCGAGGTGCGAGTCTCTCTCCGGGCCTCCAGCGGGGCCGTCGCCGATCCGGGGCGCCCCGGGGCGATCCGGCGGCCGCGGCAAGCGCGCACGCCGGCCAGGCGGCCCCGCCGCGCGGCCGCGACCTGGCGCCGAGCCCCGCCTCCGCGGCGGCCGGGGAACCGCGGCCCCGCATGGTCGCCGTGACGGCCGCTCGCGAGGTTGAAGAGCGAGGGATTTCGCGGCGTGCTCCAGAAAGGCTCCGACGGAAAAAGGAGGAGGAGGAGGAGGAGGAGGAGGAGGAGGCGTCAGGATTGTTAGTACCCACAGTACCCACAGGAGGAGGAGGAGGAGGAGGAGGAGGAGGAGGAGGAGGAGGAGGAGGAGGAGGAGGAGGAGGAGGAGGAGGAGGAGGAGAGGAGGCGATTCTGGAAAGTGTCCCCCGGCGATCCTGTCCAATGCCGCCAAGGGCCCAGCGCCCGCCTAGAGGCTGGCCTCAGGCGCCGCAGGGCGCAGACGAAGCTGCAGCTGCCCCGCCTCTTCGCGGGGCAAAAGCGCGGGGCGGACGTCGCGGCCTTCGCGCGCTGAGGCGGGCGCCCCAACCGCGGATGGCCTTATGGGGGATGCGCGGGGCTCCGGGGCCGCGCCCCCGCAGCCTCGCAAGCGCGGCGCGGCGCGGCGCAGGCGGAGGCGGCGGTTCCATAGGCGGCGGGGAGAAAAAGGAGAGAGGTGGGGCGGGTCATCTCCCTCGGTTTAGGTGGCCCCCACTTGCTTCGGAGCCCGCGCCCGGCGGGCGCCCGCCCCGCGCGGGGTTCGGGCAAGGGGGGCGCCAAGGCCGATGGCAGGGCCTCCACCGCTCGCGGTGTCTTGGGGGGGGCCGAGGCCCGCCTCCTCGCCCCCGGGTCCCTTCTCCCACTTGGTGTCTCACTCGCGTCGCATGGGGGGGGCAGCGAGCTCCCAGGAGTGGCAGAGGCCCTGAGCCAGGGCCCCCAGAACCGCCGCCAGCAAAACGGTCATCACCGTCACCTCTCCCCCCCCCCGGTCATTCGTCGGGTTCATCGAGGATGCGTCCCCGTGTGCCAATGCGTTATTGTATCCCCCTGGATTGTCCGACGGCTGTTGCCGTTTGGATTCAGGCGCTCGGCCGATTTCGAACAACCCGCCCACCATCCTTGGGCATCAAGTTCCCGCGAGCGGCAGGGACCCTGAGCCAGGACTCTTGGAAACGCCACCAGTAAAACCATCATCACCGTCACCCCTTGCCCAGGGACCGCCGTGGCACGGTTATTTGGGTGCGGATCCGTGCCAGAACACCACTCTTTGAATTCCAGACAACACTGACATCCAAGACAGCGAAAAACCAGCCATATGGGCCTTTGAAGGTGGTGCAGACGTTCAAGACGAATGTGTGCGGCTCTTTTGCGAAAACCACGTTTTGAAAACGAACCACCCTCCACACTCGAAATTGCTGCGAAGTTGCAAATTAATGTGCGCGGCGCTGGGGCGATAGTCGCATGTTGAAGTTGTTGCGAGCTTGAGAGCCCCATTTTGAAAAGCAGGCCCTCCATCCGTGAAGCTGTTGTTTTTTCGAGACGAATGCGCGCAGCGCTAAGGCGACAACCTTATTTCGAACACGAAATGGCCTCCATGTCCGAACTTTGAAGACGAATATTCGCGGCGCTGGGGCGACAACAACATTTGGTAAAGAAGCCACCCCCCATCCGTGAACGATTTGCAAGCTTGCAAGACGACTGTGCGCAACGCTATTGCGAGAACGCCATTTTGACAAGGACCCGTCCCCCATCCGTGAAGCTGCTGTACACTTTTGATACGAATGCGCGCAGCGGTCAGCCGGCAGCCATATTTTGAAAAGGGCCATCCGTGAATATGCTGCAAAGTTATACGTCACGTGTGCGTGTCGGTGCGGCGAGAACCAAAACCGGCGAGAACCAAAACTGCCCGCCACCCAGTAGTGAAGCTGTAGCGATATTTTAGGGCGACTGTGCGTGGTGCTTGGGCGAGAGCCACATTTTGAAAACCGCCCGTCCCTCATCCGTGAAGCTTCAACAAATATCAAGTTTCAGGACCTGGTGGGGACGTCTCAGGCAAAACGCCCGTCCCGCCCTACCGACAGGTCTGGTGCTGCGACAGGTGTTGTTTGAAAGGACAAGGAATGGAGGAGGAGCAGGCGGAGCAGGAGGAGCATGATGATGCTGATGATGCTGCTGATGATGGCGATGATGATGATGCTGATGATGTTGATGCGATGATGGTGCGGATGGTGGTGGTGATGATGCTACTGATGATGATGGTGCTGATGATGAATGTGTTGATGATGATGATGGTGATGATGGTGGTGGTGATGCTGATGACGATGATGCTGATGAGGATGAGGATGAGGATGAGGATGAGGATGAGGATGAGGATGAGGATGAGGATGAGGATGAGGATGAGGATGAGGATGAGGATGATGATGATGATGATGATGATGATGATGATGATGATGGTGATTATGTTGATGCTGATGGTGCTGATGGTGATGAGGAGGAGGAGGAGGGGGAGGAAGGAGGGCCAGGAGGAGATGAGGTAGGAGGAGGAGGAGGAGGAGGAGAAGGAGGAGGAGGAGGAGGAGGAGGAGGACGAGGAACTCTTCCCTCGTCCTCCCTTCTGTGTCGCCCTTGGGATGCGGTTTCGGATTGACTTGGGGTGGGCTACGCCTCCACTCCCTACTGCTTGGGAAATGGTGGACTCGTAGGCCCCTCATGTGAGTTCCCCTTTCAGACGGTCCTGCTCTGGGCCAGTGGTCTCTCCCGAGCGAGGTCGCGGGTGGTTGCTCTTGTGGCCGGGCGAAGTTCCTTCCATGCTCTCCTGTCTTTCGGTGGCAAGCCCGCCAGTCGGGAGCCGACGCTCAGCATCGCAATCGTCCCGTTCCGTTCCGTCCCACCCCGCCTCCGCCCCCTGATTACGGGCCCGACCGGCCCCGACTCGGACGCGGAGCTCCCTGGCCCCGCCCGCGCGAGCGCGGCGGCTCGGGCGATCTTCGGGGGCGCCGCCTGTCCGCCGCACTCGAGGGAGGCTCCTCGTCTGCGCTTGGGCGTGGCCCGGTCCACCGCAGCTCCCCCAGGCCGCCGCCTCTGGCGGGAACCGGTTGCGGGATGAGTCCCATGAAGGATCGCCATGAAGGAAACGGGTCGGGGAAAAGGGTCGTCAAGTTGTGTCGCCGACCTCTGGCTCCTCAGGCTCTCCTCAGGCTTCGGGGCCGCCAGAACACGACTCGGGATGAAAAGTCGGCCCTGGGGAAAGCCCCCAGAGTCCAGGACCCGTTTCCCTGAGGACCCGTTTCCTTCATGCCAAGAGGAGGGGGAAATGGGACGGAGGTGGTGGAGGTGCACGCCCTCTTCGTCGCAGTTTTGGAGAAGCTCAGAGGGGGGCCACTGCGGCTACAGACCGTATTCCGCCGCTCGCAGAGGAACGGCTCTTCCTTCCTCCTCCTCTTCCTCCTCCTCCTCCACGTTTCCCCCTCCCTTTTCTGCACCTCATTCTCACATTCTCACTCTGGCCGCTGCCCGTTCCCAATGAGCGCGCGCCTTGGGGCTGAGAGCGTCCTGGTCTTTCTGACTTCTCTCTAATTTCACCATTGTGGGCATCTGGTCCCCCTGCCCCCACTTCTGCAAGCGAAACCCATTCTCAGGCGCACCCCGAGTCGGAGGAGGAGGAGGGGATGAGGATGAGGAGGAGGAGGCGGCGGATACGAACGTCGTGGCCCCTGCGATCGCCGTCTTTGCGTTTCGGCGAGCTCGATGGGTAACCACGTAGAGGACAGTTTTTCCCAATGACACTTGTCGCGGGAGGGTTTGGCCACTGGCCGTCCCTCTCTCGCCGCATCGAAGGCATCGAAGGCGTAGGCGGAGGCCAACCACGCTCACACGTGCCCGTGCGGTCCGGCCCGCAACCAGTGGCACAATGGTGTACGGGATTTCTGCAGCTCCTATCTCCAGAAGATGACCGGCTTCACTTTGGTCATCTAGCAGCGCGTCTTGGCCTGCCACCGCGTGGGCGCGACAGGGGTGCCGGAGGAGTCGAGGTTGGACGTGGCCACCCGAACCGCCACCACGGGACAGCCTGTTTTCTTAGACGTTAGCGTGACATGCGCACACAGCGGCGACCTGTCGCGCCAGCATGCCCGCGCCAGCCGTGATAGGCTTGCGTCCTTGAATGCCGCAGACGCCAAGCACCTGCGATACACGCCGCACGGAGGGGAGCTGGCCCCTGTTATCTTCGAGGCTGGCGGGAGGCCTGGTGAGGAGACTGTGGCGTACGTGCGGTTCTGGGCGCACGACGTGGCCCCAGCCCGCTGGACGGAGGTCATCCGTTTCGCCTGCAGCAGCTCACCACGCATCTCCAGACCAGGAACGCGGCACTGCTGCTTAGCGCGATGGCCCAGTGAAGGGTCTCGCGGCCAAGGCGACGCATCGCCGCCGAGGCGACGGCCGCGGCCTGGAATGCTACCGCTGCTGCCTGCTGCCACTAGCCCTACCACAGTCGCAACCACGAGCGTTGCCACACAACTCCCACCATAACCACCACGACCTGGGGCCTGCCTCAACGACCACTTGAGCCACCACCGTGGCTTCAACAACTGCGCCGCGACTTCCACGATGCCACTACAGGGACCACAGGCTCCTCCGACCAGCCAAGACAACCGCGACCACCACTACGACCGCGATCATGACCACGCTCCGACCACGACCGCGACCACCACGATAGCGACCAGCACGACCACGACCACCACCGCGACCACCACCACGACCATTACGACCGCCACCACTACCACCAGGACCCCCTCCGACCCCCGCCCCCCGCTTCCTCTCCCTCCCCTTTCTCGGCTGAGTCGCCCCTCCTGCGCCTTGCAGCTGCCTTCCGATGGTGGGTCCCCTCGCCTAAGGCGGGGGTCTCGTCACCAGCCCGCCGCGGTGTGCAATGTCTTGCCCTTTGCCGCCGCGCGCTGTCCCCGCCAGGGCCTCGTTGGGCACCTGGTGCGGGTGGACCTTTTCTGCCCTCTCCCCCCCCTGCGGGAAGGAGGAGGAGGAGGAGGAGGAAGAGTAGGAGGAGAAAGAAGAAGAGGAGGAGGAGGAGGAGGAGGAGGAACAGGAGGAGGATGAACAGGAGGAGGAGCAGGAGGAGGAGCAGGAGGAGGAGGAGGAGGAGGAGGAGGAGGAGGAGGAGGAGGAGGAGGAGGAGGAGAACGAGAAGTAGGAGGAGGAGGAGCAGGAGGAGCAGGAGGAGAACAAGGAGGCGGGGAAGGAGCTCCCCCCTCCTCCTCAGCTTCTTTCTGCCGCCACCCCTGCACTTCCTCCCCTTCCCCCCCCTTGGCGCCCCCCCCTTTCCTCGGAGCGACGCCCCCCCCCCCCGAGGCCAATCCCGAGTCGGAGAGCTTCCTAGAAAGTGCGGGCCTCGGTCGGCGCGCGTTCGCGCTGCGCCCGCGCCCGCAGGGCATGGCGTCTACGCGGGGGTTCCCGTCGACGGAGGGGGCGGGGCACTGGTGCCCAAGGGGGGCAGGACGAGCCTCGTCCTGCCCCGTAGGCGAAAGGCGGCGTCGCGGTGGTCGTGTTACCATCCTTATCGGGTGGCAGCCCGCAGTGGTGGATGAGAGTGACGGGGCGGCGGGGACGTCGGCAGTGTGCGAGTCTCAGACGGATCCCGCGGGCGGGTGGGTGGGTCGAGGGTGGGTCGCGGGTGGGTGGCGGGTGGGTGGCGGTCGGGTCGTGGCGTGGGTCGCGGGTGGGTCGCGGGGTGGGTCGCGAGTAGGTCGCGGGTGGGTCGCGGGTGAGTCGAGGGGTGGGTCGCGGGTGGGTCTAGATCGCGGGGCGGGTCGCGGGTGGGTCGAGGGTGGGTCGCGGGCGGGTCGCGGGCGGGTCGCTGGTGGGCCGGGGGTTGGTTCGCGGGTGGGTCACGGTTGGGTCTCGGGTGGGTCGCGGGTGTGTCGCGGGGTGGGTCGCGGGTGGGTCGCGGGTGAGTCGCGGGTGTGCCACAGGTGGGTCGTGGGTGGGTCGCGGGCGGGTCGCGGAGGGGACGACGACAACAACAACGCAACAACAACAACAATATGCAAAATCCGCACCGTGGAGTCCCATTCCAGCCACGCACCTAAGGACAGTGAATGACCGGTCGGCCCCCTCACTCTGATTATTTGTCTTTCTCCTCCTCCTCCTCCTCGGCATCACCACCACCATTATCATCGTCATCATCATCATCATCAGCAGCATCATCATCATCACCATCATCATCACCATCATCATCATCATCATCATCATCGTCATCATCATCATCATCATCATCATCATCATCGTCAGCACCACCATCACCACCATCATCACCATCACGATCACCATCACCATCACCATCACCATCGCCCTCCTCCTCCTCCTCCTCCTCATCATCATCGTCATCATCATCACCATCACCATCGCCATCACCATCACCATCACCGTCACCACCATCACCATCATCATCAGTACTTGCGGCCAAGCGATCGGGGGGGGGCACCATCCAGCATTATGTCGACGGTCATGTTTCGGTGGCGTGCCTCTCCTCTGTCTTGCCTCACCTCCCCAGCAGTTTTCCCGATATGAGCCTGTGTGATAGAGTGCTCTTCACTTTTTCCACCTATGCCGAGCGTTCAGATGCGCTGGGGGCCAGACTGCATCCCAGCCCTGTTTGCTGCCAGAGCCCGTGCGACCGACACTAATGGGCGAGCGGTTTGGCCCCTGCTGGACAGAGGATAGACGGCTTTACCATTTGTCCTCTTCTCGCGTCGTGCCCACTTGCCCTCGTCTCGTTCTTGCCTGGGGCATTGTGATCATCATCAGCATCATCCTCCTCCTCATCATAATTCGCCGGCCCAACGGGCCAGGGCGTGCTAAGATCTCCGGTGCCTGGTTAACAGTATTTCTAGTTCGCGCGCGCGGGGCGGCCCCTGGGGGTCCCCGGACGAAAAGTACCCCGGCAAGGTCCCGGCAAGTCCCCGGCAAGGTCCCGGCAAGTCCCCGGCAAGGTCGGGCCAGAGATGCCGGAGCCCTGTTACAGGGCCCCAGGACGGGCCAAGAGGTCCCCAAGAAGCCTCCAAGACGGTCCAAGAGGGCCCCGAGACGGCCAAAGATCGCCCGAAGACGCCCAACAGGGCCCCAAGACAGCCCAAGAGGCCTCCAAGACGCCCCAAGGGCCTTCCAAGAGGCCTCCGAAGAGGGCCCCAAGAGGCCAAAATCGTTGATTTTCATTGTTTTTTTCTATGTTTTTTGCGTTCTGGCTTTTTCGGCTTCCGGACGCTCCAAGACGGCCCAAGAGGCCCCCAAGACCGCTCCAAGACGGCCCACGAGGCTCCCAAGACGGCCCCGGAACGGCCCAGGAGGGCCCCCAAGACGGCCCAAGTGCCGCCCAAGACGGACCAAGAGGCCCCAAGACGGGCCCAAGAGGGGCTCAAGAGGAGAACCGAGAACTGAAAAATCGAGCCCTCCGCCCCAGAAGGCGCCCAGGAGGCCCCAAAAAGGCCCCAAGAGGCCCCCAAGAGGCCCCCAAGACGCCCCAAGAGGCGCCCAAGAGGCCCAAAAGAGGCCCCAAGAGGCCCAAAAACGGCCCCCAAGAGGCCCCAAAACTCGGCTAGCCCACAACGGTGCGACAATATGGGCCGGCGGAATGAGCGAAGCGATTCAATAAGAATCCTCAGCATCACCATCATCATCACTATCATCATCAACACCATCATCATCTTCATCAGCACCCGCCTCCTCTATCGTCTCTCTTGCTACCGTCTGCTCCCCCGCACACGCACACACACACACACACACGCACGCACGCACGCACGCACGCACGCACGCACGCACGCACGCACGCACGCACGCACGCACGCACGCACGCACGCACGCACGCACGCACGCACGCACGCACGCACGCACGCACGCACGCACGCACGCACGCACGCACGCACGCACGCACGCACACGCCACGCACACACACACACACACACACACACACACACACACACACACACACACACACACACACACACACACACACACACACACACACACACACACACACACACACACACACACCAGCCTTCTCCAAGCTCCCTCGTGGGCCCCTCCTGGGCCCCTCTTTCGCATGGACCCACCCCGGTCGCTGCCCGCCCCTCCTCCCCCTGGCTCGACGCCTAGGGGTGCCCTCGCGCTCTTGCTCGCCATCGCCGCACAGGTCGCGCGAGATCCCCGATCCGAGCACCAGGCTCGGTCCAGCCCTGGGCGCGGACGGGACTCAGGGGCAACGATAAGGGGGTCATAGGTATGGGGGGGACCCATCGACCCCCAATCGCCCACTGATCGCCAGTAGGGGCCCGATAGCTCCAACCTGCCCAGGAACGTTCGGATCTGGTATCGGGGGTTTATCGCCGATCTGCCAGCGACGCATCGCCGATTCCAAGTGGAGCGACGGAAGACAACGGGGTCGTCTTCACCGACATTGGCGCGCAAGCTGCCCGCGTAAGGTCGCGCGTGGGTACCCTCGCTTCCAACGCATCGTGCTGCGGCGGCGGCCTGGGTAAGCCACCGCGTAAGGTCGCTACCCCACCTCGCGCAAGACCCGTTGTCGATCGTCGCTTAAGTAGATGTTTCCCCCCCTTGTCGGCGTCATCCCAATCTACTAACATACTATGTGTGCATCGCCCCCCCAGGGGCGACGCGCGCACCGAAAAGTCTTAAAGTACATGCATCGTGGCGGGCGCTTTCTGGCCACACCGCTTGGGAAACGACGTACTACAAGGTGGGTACACTATATGTTCGGGTCGGACGCGCGTCTCCGAGGAGGACACACAGTACTAGTATGTTGTTTTGCGTCGGGACATACATCCCTTTTACCCAGGACATACATCCCCGCACTGGGCCCCGCCGCCGCCTGGCCCGCTGACGCAGCAGGGGAGCTATCCGTCCCCTGAGCCGCTCGCTCCGTTCACCCCTTTTTCGGCCGCGCCCTCCCCCCGCTCCTCCTCTGCATGGTGGCACAATTCGCTCTAACGGCATCCCCGTTTCGGCAGCCCATCGCCAGCGCAGACGTCCCCTGCCTATCCTCCGACGCAAAAACGTTGTTGTGTGTGTCCCACCCTGCGCCAGTCCCCCCCATGACGCCTGGGGGAACGAACAATGACATAAACATTAAAACTCCGAGGTCCGCGCGGATCCTGACCCCCCTGGCGCGTTCCGCGCGCCATGGAGGGAGGTCCAGTGCCGATCCGAGAAATCCGCGCGGACTTCCGAGTTTTCACGAGTTTATGTCATGGTTCGTTACTCTACTGTGGAGACCCATGCCAAGAAACACCCTGCTCGCCTCCAGGGTGCCCCGGGTTCCTTGGGTTTCGATGGTTTTGCTGTGGATGGGTTTCTTGTGGAAGGTCTCCTGTGGTCGGGCCTCCACTGTACTGCCGCCGCCTCTCCACGGAACTCCAGACTAGACCCCAGGCCTCCCAGCGTGCTGAGGCACGGCACGCGGAGGCTCCTCGCCCCGCTCGGCCTCGGGGGGGCAGCTGGTCCGGCCCCGGGCACCCTCACATGCAGCCGGAGAGGGTGCACGGGCACGAGCAGGAAGAGGAGGAGGAGGAGGCTCGGAGGAGGAGGAGGAGGGGGAGGAGGAGGAGGACCGGTGAGCAGGGGAAGGGGGAGGAGAAGGAGGAGCAGGGGCAGGAGGAGGGGGGGGAAAGTAGGAGGGATGATGAGGAGGAGAGAGGGGATGAGGAGGAGAGGAGCAGAGGAGGAGGAGGGGAGGAGGGGAGGAGGAGGATGAGCGAGGAGGAGGAAGGTGGATCAGGGGCAAGGGAGAAGGAGGACGGTTGAAGCAGGGCAAGGGGCAGGAGGAGGGAGGACGAGGAGGAGGAGGAGTGGAGTACGAGGGCGGACGAGGAGGAGGCGGAGGGTAGAGGAAGGAGAAGGCGGAGAGTACTGAGGAGGGAGTCATGGGCAAGGTGATGACTTGGGGGGGGGGGGGGTCGAGGGCTGGCCAGGGGTGGCCTTAGACGATTTGTTGTCGGTGTTTTTTCGCCGCCAACCAACTGTACCTTGCTCGGCCTCGGTCCAGAGGCCGAGGGCGTCGAGGGGGCAGCGGCGACCCGTCGCCAGCAACTACCAGACAAGAGTTGCACCGCCCAGATCTCAGGGTTGGGCAAAACCATCGGGCGTTGCGCAAGGGGGGGCGATCTTGTGGGTCACGAGCGAAAGAAGGACGTAACTGTACATGACTCCACGTTGGTTTCGAGAGTTCGCAGTGCGCAAACGTTCGTATCACGCGGCCGCTCTCGCGGATTGGGGGGGCCGTGTTCGCGTACGTGGTTGGGCGCGTACGTCCTTCTGTGGGCTCCCTAACGGGGGGGGGGGCGAGGAAAGGTGCACTTGTAGGTGCACCTT